AAAATAAGAAAAACTAATTCAGTGAACGAGTATAACTTGTAATTTAAGAAGAATTTATTCAATAGATGGTAACGTTTTAAAAGTTCTTCAGTGTTACGAAAAATATTCGTAAACATATTCTTTACCAGTGAATTAGTTACATTCAAAAAAAAAATTTTCAACAACGTCGAATGCCTCTGAAATATTTCTCAAAGAGATTTCTATATCCGAGTCTATTATTAGCTTTCGATACTGAGAAGACTAGTCAACATTTATTTTGAAAATTTTTCTATCTTTTATCTTTACATTTCGATTTGTTAAGCAATTTTCTAATAACACGTTTCATCGTAGTTATTTACTAATAATCTGAAATAAAAATATGTACTTTTTCAATCTATAGACATCGGTTTCATCGCTAATGATCTGTTCGAAAAATCTCATTCAATTGTCGTTTCTATGAATTAAAATCAACAAAGTTTAGTTCATAGATCAATGCTATTCTTTGATATTTACACATCATCGCATACTAGAATAAATCCTTGTTTCTTTATTAACATTCATCGATCGCTTGATATCAAGAACAAATAGAAGCTGGCAAAATGCTTTGAAACCATTTACTAGTCGATATAATTTGACATTTTGAGTCATATGATTTCATATGGATTTTCTGGAATATCCTAGTATTTTATAAATTGATTATATTATAGATGTCACTGCATTATATCAATCTTGAATTGTATTAAAGATTTTAGAGAATAAAATTGAATATTTTTCAAAATATTAATTAAAAAACCGCATTTCTATACTTTTCTACAAGTATTCTTTTGATAGGTTGCCCACCTTTAAGTGCCATCATTAATCATGTTTTGCTGGACCAATCATATTCAGACAACATATTCATCCATCATCCATGAAACAAAAACACGTGTATTTCAGTTCAATGATCATTATCACGAATAAATACGGCTGAATTTGTACGTTAGCCTCATTTGGTACTAAACAATACTTTCGATAAACATGAAGATATTCATTGCTATTTTACTTATCGCTACTACTACTTTCAATTTCTCTTTGGCCGCTGAAGAAGCCAAAAAAGGTTCGTTCTTAATTCATAGAAAAAGCATATCTATTGAGTTTTCCTTAACTAGATTTTGGAACTGTTATTGGTATTGATCTCGGTACAACATATTCATGTGTTGGTATATTCAAAAATGGACGTGTAGAAATTATTGCTAATGATCAAGGTAATCGAATTACCCCATCCTATGTGGCATTTACATCTGATGGTGAACGATTAATTGGTGATGCAGCTAAAAATCAATTGACATCAAATCCAGAAAGTAAGTTTTTCTTTTTTGATTGAATAAAGTGACGTTGATGTGTATTTTTTTGTTAGATACTGTATTTGATGTTAAACGACTTATTGGCCGAGAATTTAGTGATCCAAGTGTTCAACAAGATATTAAACATTTTCCATTCAAAGTTGTAGAAAAAAATTCAAAACCAATTATTGAAATAAATACTGGTAAAGAAAAGAAACTTTTTACTCCGGAAGAAATTTCCGCTATGGTACTTGGAAAAATGCGTGAAATAGCTGTAAGTTTATTTTCTCTTCGTTCATTCCAAACTATTTTTTTTCTGTTTAATAGGAAGCTTATCTTGGTAAAAAAGTTACTCATGCTGTCGTTACTGTTCCTGCTTATTTCAACGATGCTCAACGTCAAGCAACAAAAGATGCTGGAACAATTTCTGGTTTGAATGTAATGCGTATTATCAATGAACCAACTGCTGCAGCCATAGCTTATGGTTTAGATAAAAAGGAAGGTGAAAAAAATATTCTTGTCTTTGATTTGGGTGGTGGTACATTTGATGTATCATTATTAACAATTGATAATGGTGTATTTGAAGTTGTTGCAACAAATGGTGATACACATTTAGGTGGTGAAGATTTTGATCAACGTGTTATGGAACATTTTATTAAATTATTTAAAAAGAAAACTGGTAAAGATGTACGAAAAGATAATCGTGCTGTACAAAAACTTCGTCGTGAAGTTGAAAAAGCTAAACGTACATTATCATCACAACATCAAACAAAAATTGAAATCGAATCATTCTTTGATAATGAAGATTTTAGTGAAACATTAACACGTGCTAAATTTGAAGAATTAAATATGGATTTATTCCGCTCAACAATGAAACCCGTACAAAAAGTATTAGAAGATTCCGATTTAAAAAAGACTGATATAGCTGAAGTTGTTCTTGTTGGTGGTTCAACACGTATTCCAAAAATTCAACAATTAGTTAAAGAATTTTTCGATGGTAAAGAACCATCACGTGGTATTAATCCAGATGAAGCTGTTGGTAAGTTTATATTTTCATCTTTTTTTTTTGTATAATCGAATTAATTTTATTTTTGTAAAGCCTATGGTGCTGCTGTTCAAGCTGGTGTTTTATCTGGTGAAGAAAGTACGGGTGATATCGTTCTATTAGATGTCAATCCATTAACATTAGGTATTGAAACCGTTGGTGGTGTAATGACAAAAATTATTTCACGTAATACAGTTATACCAACAAAAAAGAGTCAAGTTTTTTCAACAGCTGCTGATAATCAACCAACAGTTACAATTCAAGTATATGAAGGTGAACGACCAATGACAAAAGATAATCATGTATTAGGAAAATTTGATTTAACTGGAATTCCACCAGCACCACGTGGTGTACCACAAATTGAAGTTACATTTGAAATTGATGTTAATGGAATATTGAAAGTAGGTTATTTTTTTTTGTTTTCTGTTTTAATTTTTTGATAATATTGTTTTTTAGGTTACAGCTGAAGATAAAGGAACAGGAAATAAAAATAATATTGTTATTAATTCAAATACAAATCGTTTATCACCAGAAGAAATTGATCGTATGATAAAAGATTCAGAAAAATTTGCTGATGAAGATAAAAAAGTCAAAGAACGTGTTGATGCTAAAAATGAACTTGAATCGTAAGTTATATTTTGTTAATGATAATATTAATTGATATGAAAATTTTTTGTTTTTTGATAGATATGCTTATTCATTAAAAACACAATTAAATGATAAAGAAAAACTTGGTGGAAAATTATCAAGTGATGATAAAGAAAAAATCGAAAAAGCTGTTGAAGAGCAAATTAAATGGTTAGAATCAAATCCAGCTGCTGATGTTGATGAATTAAAAGAACATAAAAAAGAATTAGAAGAAATTGTTACACCTATTATAACGAAATTATATGGACAAGGTGGAGCTGGTGCTGGTGATTCTCCACCACCCCCATCACATGGACATGATGATGATAGTTTGTAAAAAATGCAGTTTTATCATAGGAAATCGTGGGGGTCAGATTTTTTTTGTATTTATTTATGCCTCTTGTTATTTTCGTTCCACTATCCAAGTGTTAATATAATAAAAAAGGAACTAACTATGCATCAACATGCACTTTTGTTGTGTTCTCTTCATTGCTGCACCTTTGTTGATTTTTTTTCTTAGTCCTTATTGTTACACACGCATATGACATAGTTCTTTTTGGGAAAATATATTCGAATCGAAAGACAACGATTGTGTTTGTCTAGTTTAAATTCTTGCTATAATAAACAAAAGATTGTAAAGCAATATAAAAGAGCAGGATTGAAATATGGAATATAATATAATTATTGTTGCTTATCACTAGAGATGCATCGATTTTAAAATCATTCAAATTCAATTCCAATTCTTGGTTTAGATTTGGTACATTTCTAATAATCAAAGTAAACTGCTTTACTCTATCTGTTTTGATAAACATTTCTTCGCTATCCTGTTACTTAGTCCTTCTGAAATGCAAGAAGAAAGGAGCACATATATTAGAACAAGATATTGACATACGATCTGTATCCATATATATATATATATCAATGTCTGTCACTGTCTGTGGGAGAAGGATGGCTCTAAATTTTGACTTCTATATTTCAACACTTCTGTTAGATCGTGTTTCACGAAATCTACGACAAAACTGTTATATCAACGATTAATTAGTCTTTTTTTGCTAAACTTAGCTTGAAAACTAGTCTGAATTCATAAACTAAAATTTAAGACAAATGTTCATATGTACAATTCGGTGAGAAGAATACGAACCTAAGACTAAGAATCCCCAGATAAGAAAAGTGTTGGAACCTTTATTTATATAAAACTATTCATTTGTAGAAGAAAAAATACTAAATCTGTAAGAGTCTGATTGGCACCATCCAAACTACGAATCATTTGAAAAACTAAAAACAACGATGTTCTTAGAAAATTCATTTTAAATATTATTCATTGCTCATGACTTTCAAAGATTATAGCTTGTCTATCTATTTTCTCAATTAAATGTTCATTGCTAAGATACTTGCAGCTAGTTCACTGGCTTTATGGTCCTATAATGACGACTTTTTCATAGTGATCCACATCACTACAAAAGAAAATGTTCAAAATTAGTAAGTGTAGTGTTCAGTAAGAAATATTCTTTTCAAAACTCGTCATACTATCAAAAGTAACACTTTCCGTAAATTCTTTTTTCCAGATAGATATATTTATTCAATTATTTCATGATTCAAAGAAGAATTATAAAATATAAAAGATAGACGACAGTAAATAAATAGACAACCACCAAATGTACACATTCGCATATATTTGTGTACATTATTATGGGGCATATACACAAGACAACAAGAGAAAGAGAAAAAAATAAACCTGTGCGTGTATGATCTAATACGTCTAGTGAAAATTATGCCACACAAAAAGAAAGAAAAATATTTGCAAGAAAAAATTCGAAAGAGGCCACAGCAGCAGCAGCAATGATGATCAATGACTAGAAGATAGGCGGTGTAATAAAATAAAATTAACTCGAAAAAAAAAGAAGAAAAATACACGCACAAAAGACAAAAACAACAATAAAATGACTAGAATTTCATAGAGAAAGAGAGACAAAGAAAGTAAGTGACCGAAGAAGAAAAAAAAAGAAAAATTATGCAATTGATGATGTTTACATATCGGTTTCATCGGTTGTTGAACGATTAAGAGTTACTGTTTTATTATTAATATTATTATTATGTATCATTGATTTCTGTTGAGCATTTGTCAATGATGAAGCATTTAATGATGATGATGATGATATGGAATTAAATTGAAACGGTGTTGGACTTGGGCTTCGTTTTGTTTCTATATGTGGTATTGGCATATGATCTGTTTTAACAACTGTTATTGTTGATGAAATATTATCATTTGTTGTTGATGGATTTGATGATATAGGTGTCATTGGTAATGTTTGTTTTAAATTAACAGCTAAATCATCACGTAATGCACGTCGACCATCATTAGCATCATCTTTAGGTATTTCACCACGTTCTAAACAACGCCAATCAGGATTTTGATATGAAAAATCTTTAAATTCATCTTGATTTATTGCTTTAACAATAACTGATTCAATTGGTGTAAATGCAACAGGCATATTTGTAAAATCTTTATCAAAATTACTTGTATCTCGATGATTAATCTAGTTAAGAATTTGTCGATTTTTTACACACAAAAAAAAAAACAAAGAAAAATTTTCTAACATACCACTTTTGGTTTAAATGGTGGTTTAACTTGTCGACATTCTAGTGCTTCCCAATCAATTTTCCCAGCAAAAAATGCATGACGTTTTATTGCCTCTTCACCACCTTGTGCTGCTACACAACCAAGACGTTTAGCTGGATTTTTTGTCATAAACTAAAATAGAATGAAAAAGAAAATAGAATAAATTCAGTTGAATTGATTTCTTTTTGAAACTTACTGATTTAAGAATATGTACAGCTTCTTTTGATAACCAAACAGGATAAAGTACTTCATCACGTAAAATAGATTCAAATAAACTATCTTCATCATCAGCTTCAAATGGTGGTTGTCCAGCCATCATTTCATACATTAATACTCCTAATGCCCACCAATCAACAGAAAATGAATAATCTAATTCTTGAAGAATTTCGGGTGCGATATAATCTAATAATAATATAATAATGAATACATTTGAATAGAAAAACAAAAATTAGATACATACCAGGTGTACCACAAAATGTAGATGTTAATTTTCCATCAAATATACCTTCTTTACACATACCAAAACTAAAATAAATAATAATTTTAAATAGGAATATACTCAAGAACTCTTAGAAATGCTTTCAATTTATCAGAGTAGTTAGATTTATTCACTATATGAAGAATAGATATCAGTTGAATTTACTGGTTTTAGTTTCTGTCTGATTTCACTCTTGAGTAGTGTTTCTTTTCTAAAGAGATAATCTGAAAGTCTGCTAGAACAAATCCAATATCGTGGAGATCATTATTCTTCTATTTCACATACTGAAAAAAGTAATGTTCTTAATCTCGTTCGTGTCTTAGCCATCCGAATGAATTAGTCGTGAAGAAAATATCTTATAACATAGTTCGAATCTAAAAGACTTTATATTCTCATTACACAAAATAGGTGTATCAGTTCTATTTGTTTTGACTAAATTATAACATTCTTTTCTGAGAACAATTCTACATACTATTGCATATCTTCAAATATTTCTGTATTGATTTTATGAGGATGAAAATCATTTTAAATCTTGAAACTTTTTGAAATCAATACAACACAGAATCTACTATTATGAAAAAACAATTAGGCTGCTTAAAAACCGAATCGTGTAAGAAAATTTTTTTTGGATGTTCGAGCCGAAACTAACCATGCTCTTTCAAAAGCAATAAATTTATTCTATTTTTAATATGCTAAAATTCTTATCAGTTTAAGAATATTAGAAAAAAACCTACTCAGCAATTTTACAATGTCCTTCGGCATCAAGTAGAATGTTATCAAGTTTGAGATCACTGAAAAGAAAAAAAATCAAGGTGAAAATGTATACATGAATATCAAAGAGAATATTTCTCCATACCGATAAATAACACCATGTCGATGTAAAAACATTAATGCTAATGTTACTTCTGATGCATAAAATCGTGCACGTACTTCATCAAATTTCCGTGAACGTTGAATTTGAAACATTAAATCACCACCATTAACATATTCCATCATTAAAAATAAACGTTCCTAAACATTTTCGATTGATTTTTATTTTGATGAGAGCAAAAAGAACAAGACAAGAAAAACCTTTGTTTGAAAACTACAATAAAGCCCAGTTAAAAATGGATGTCGAACTGATAAAGCTAAAATTCTTCTTTCTGTCATTGTACATTCAACATCATCATTTTGAATAATTGTATCTTTATTGAGCACTTTTATAGCAAAGATTTCACCAGTTAATCTATGTTCACCTAACATAACCTTTAAAAAACAAAGATTTCTTTGAAACAAGAATAAAATTAAGAACGAAGAAAATATTACTTTTCCAAATGATCCTTTTCCTAATATTTTCAAAAAATTAAAATCATCAATTGTATTATAATGTTTTTGTTTGATTGAATTATCATCAAATGAAGATGGAGGAGGAGTTGTATGTTTTATTGATGTTGCAGCAGCTTGATTAGCAGATGATGCTAAAGACATAAAATTCAATTTCTTTTCTTTTATTCTACATCAAACAATACATACTATCTACTTCACTTGGTAAATTAGTCTAGAAAACATTAAAAAAAAATTTTATATAACAAATAAAAATAAAGGACGAGTGGCAGTAAGGCCATTTTTCATTCCCCAATAGTTTTGAAAAAAAAATTGTATGGTTAGAATCAGCATTAAATTCTAACATAATACGCTATTTTATTTTTACCCGAGTGAAAAAAATTCTTTTCACCCGGTAAAAAAATAAAATAGCGTATTATGTTCAGAATTTAATACTGATTCTAATCATACAATTTTTTTCAAAACTATTGAGGAATGAAAAATGGCCTTACCGCCACTTGTTCTTCTACCGGTCTTGGTGGTGCTGGAGTTATATTAAGATCGGCTAGAACTGATGCAAGTCTCTTCTTATCTAAACCACAATCATTGGCAACATTACGTGTACAGCGTTTATGTACATTTAATTTGCATTCTAAATATAAAATAGAGAATTTTTAGCTGTTTAGAAAATAATCTAAAAAAGAAATAACAATCAACATTATTCGAACTATGACAAAAACCTATAGATATTGACAAAGAAATTTGTCTTTTGGAGATTTATATAAGACTTGTCTTGAACTTCTATTCGAATTACAGTTGTCTCACGAGGGAAAATATTCAACTGTTAATTGTCGATCGAAGTGATATTTTGTTCATCAGTAGGACTGAGTTAGACTAGAAAGAGTTCTTTTCATACACCTTCATTATGGAATTATGGCCGTTTAATGGAACTTTTCATCAAAGCTTTTGCGTGTAACTTGATCACTGATTCCTTAGAATATCCTGAAAGTTGGTTTTATGATTTTATGTTTATTGAATATCCTTTATTTCGAGAAGAAATCATTCGTTTTGACTGGAACTGATAGTTCTTCTAAAGGTCAAGAAACTTTTGGGTAAGGTATCATTTTTATCGATAATTAATAATTAGATATTTTTCCTTGTCAAAATAAAAAATGTGATTACTCAATACTTTTCTTATAACAAAAGACGTATTAGTATAAATTTGCCAGATTCATATGAATTTCTATCAAGAGCTTTTCACCATCGAACGTCAGAAACCATTTGAGATTGTTTTTTTCGAAGAGAAGTGCTCGAGCTTCAATTACTGCGAACATCGAACTCGAAAGAAAGAACGGGTTATAGAACAAACTGCTATCGGAGTTTTGCTTTCCGCAGCCCTGAAGACTTCTTTTGGTTGATAAATTTAACTAAGAATTCTCCGTAGCTCTAGTTTTTTATTGATATTCGGATTACAAAATTTTTTTTTCAAGAAAACATCACTCTCCTGACTGATATAAAATACCGAGATTATAAAGTTCAATCAATCGAAACAAAAAAGCTCTAGTCTGACATTTTCTAAGCCGATTATGATCATTACTATCTATTCTAATAAAGTCAGATTTATATTTTAATAAAATAATAGAAAAACTTTTCAATTACCTTTACATTGCATTCCTTGATTCCAAGCTCCCCATAGAAGTGATCCACAATGATCACAAAATGTAAATAATCGATAAGTATGTGCAACAAATCGATGTGGTACATTGATTTTAAAACGTTTTTCACGATACTAAATACAATACAAAGAACTTTTCAAAACAAAAACAAAACTCAAAATTATGTAACCTACTTCAAAACATGTTCGAATACCAGGACAAGTTGTAACTACAGATGCCTTACATCGTTTATGTATCACACATGTACACACTAGAAGAGAAATTAAAAAAAAAACATTGATAATTCAATTCTTTGTTTTGTTTCTATATTCATAATGAATAAATATTTTTCATGCACCACAAAGGGAATTCTCTGTGTACATGGACAAAAATTCACATGACAAGCACAAGTGTTTAACTTTTTTGAACACAATGGTGATTGGGAAGCAACATCCATTCTTACCTTGACATTGATAACCTTGTGTACGAAAGATACCCCTGGAAAAATGAGCTTATTAATCCTATTCTTTCAATGTATTTTTTTTATCGTGGTTTTCTAATTTTTTCCTTGTTTAATAAAAACTGATAAAAGAAACTCTTACCAAATAAATTCTGAGCAAATTGAGCAAAACGTTGGTTGACGAAAAAAAGTTGCCATAAATTTATGTCCATTAATTTCATAAACACGACGTACAACAGCAAAACGTCGCTGAGCAAAAGCTTGTTTATTTCGTTTAAAATGTCGTTCATTACTAACAGCTAATTATTTAATCAACAAATAAATTGTATTCTTTTTTCACAAAAAAGATTCATCAAAACTTACAATCACTAAATTGTCCTTGTAATTCAATAGCTACATGAATTCTTCCAGCTGGTTCAAGATCAATCCATATGTCACTTTTTTTATCATGAATATTTTCAAATTTAATTGTACAATCAGCAACAAATTCATCAGGTGGTAATGCAGCATCATGAAATATTGTGATATGTAATTGGTGTCCATTATAAACATCACTTGAAAATTCTTCATTATAGGTTGGTGTGGTTGTTTTTTCTTTTGTATGTGTACGTCCTAATGGTAGATCATCAATATCAACTGATATATATGGACTAACATAAGCTGTTGATGGATTTTGAGGAAAATAACGTGTTGAATGTTCTGTTGCACGCAAATTATCAGCTTCAATTATTTTTAAAAACATTTTCCCATTGAAAACCACCATTTTATTATTTTGTCTTTTTTTTTTAATAATCAATTTGAAGAAAAAAAAAGTTCAAGAATAATCAAGCGAATGCAAACATCTGCAATTGCTGTTGACAAGAGAAAAATAAATAAATAACAACAATGCCATGAAATAGAATATTGGCAGCCATTTTATTTTACTCATGGGAATACTCAATATATGATTGTCAATGATTCTTCCGGTTTTTCGATTTAGACTTACATTGTTTAATTATTTATGAATAATAATGTACTTTGTACATAGAAGGATTACGTTAAAATTGAATTGAGCTTAAATCTAAAATTGGAATTATCGTGATAGATGTCACTAGTTAATTGCTGAATCTACTATATGTAAATATCGATTGAACGATGTAAACAATTCATCTGATAATGTCTATATTGATATTCAGTTCGAAATTCCATAAGCGTATATAGACTATATTTTAATTTTATCGATAAGAATAAACAATAATTTTCCAACAAGTTCCGTTAGTAACTCGCTTTCTAATTTTGAAAGCAGAATGTTTTGTTTGCTCAGTACTATGTGTCAACTCAGATTCAGATAAATTGACAGTAGTAGGTTAGGAAAGAACCTAGTAATCACGATTGATCTTTTTGGTCTTCGTCTAACTTGTTTACCGTATAGCTTTCATATGATATTATCTAATACTTTATTAGTTTCACCAACTAATATAAAAAGTATTGCACTTCGTGACACGAAAATGCTTGTTATAGCACATTTTGAAAGCGTGAGTTGAGTTTAGTCTTCAGTATGCTATTATGTTTTCTGTGAAAGTGAATAATTATCATTTTTTCATCTAATTCGAATGAGACAAATCGACTCTTGGGAACTGACAACGAAAGAGCTTGAGACTAAGACAGGAAGGTTATTATTATCACATAGCTAGTGGCCTAACTGTCGAGCAAAATTTTCCTTTATCAATTAATTGGTAACAGAATAATAAGAGCGCATTCTACTTGAGATTTTACGATATTAACAGCATATTTTCAATATAGTAAATAACGTTTCTATGAACGTAGAATCCACTTATCAAATAATTGACAAGATATTTGTATTTCGCATTTAGATGAACTTTGAAATTCAAACTATATTTATAACTAGCGAGAGCCCGTGCATACTGTACGGCAGCGTTTTTTTCTTTAACGTACGACCTCAAAACTTTAACCTTTCACTCGGTAACAGACACACAAACACTCGACATTATATACGTTGAAGCCTTACGGCGTGATCTTCTTATTGCGCTAATAGTTCATGTAACCTTACAGCCTTATATTTCTGGTCGCTTTTGTAGCCCTATTCTCTCCTAGCGTTTCTCCGCTATAGCCTTTCCCCTTGTTGCCTTACTCCTTTATAGCCTTATCCCCTTATGGTCTTACCACTGTATAGCCTTACCTCCTGATAGCCTTACTCCTTATGGCCTTTTTGACCTTTACCCTTTGGCCTTTGACACGGCACAGACACACACACCCACAGACGCTGAACATTATATATATAGATTAAAGAAGAAATTGAATACATACAAACTTTTTTCGAATCCTATCACGTTTGATTTTCAATATCCTAATTCTGGATGTCTTATGGGACGAGACAAATAGAATTTTTCGAGACTCGAAATAGTTCCACGCAATTCTGGTTTTTCGTAATTGTGACGGTTGTTTGTTTTTTCTAGAACAGTTTGTGATAACACTTATTTACAGTGATGCATATGAGCATATTTGAATTCCTTGTTTTACGAATTATGCCAATTGTTTTCTTGCTTTTGAAATGTCTAAAAATCGAGTCATTTAGTTTTCCTCGCTTTTCTTTCGAATATTGTTCATGTTACACTTATTTACATTTCCAAGTCTATCCTATTCTATACAATTCTTACATTAGTCACTTTCAAAATTGAGTATCTTTTAAGTTCTCAAATTAACGAAATGACATATAACTCATTCTAATTCGAAATATGAAGTTTGACAATCATAAGAATAATTTTATGATTGAGAGATCGTCTTTTTAAAAAAGTTGAGGGCAATAGGTAAACTATTTGATTTTTAATTATCTTCTTTTTTCTTCTAAATGGCATAAATTATATATTAAAATGGAATTAATAAAGGACAGTTATCTTTTAATGCAAAAAGAATTTCTGATGGATTTATCAATGTTGCAAATGAAAAATTTATGTCAATATATTGACGATAGTGAACATGAAAGACATTTCATATTGATGATCATCATCAAAGTTGCCTGCAATTTTATTCTTCATTCTAAATTTTAATTCTACTGTAAAAGACAAAGTCTAGAATAATAAACCTTATTGAAGAGTTTATTAGTCTTATAAATTATACATCAAAATTTCATAAATTCTTTATGGTTTATTTTTATTTCATAAATCTTTCACGGATTTATTAGAGTTTTTACTTTGATAAAGTCTAAAAGGATTTATGAAAATTTTATGTACTTTTTTTTTTAAGAGTGATACTCATAGAAATCTATGTTATAATATTATTTCATCGTTTTTTTTATCGTTCTTAAGACATGGATAGTGAGGACATTTTCCGTTCCTTTGCTATTATAATCTTTATCGTTCTTGGTTTAATTACAACTATGTTTTCATTGACAAAAATTATAATTATTATTTCCAGTTGAAATACAAAATGTTGATCAATTCCTAATCTTCATGCATGTAATTCATATATTATTAGTCTCTTATGTCTTTGCTATATCCATACGAATTCCACTTCTATTTGAAAGTACTTACCAAGAAAGTCCCTATATTTCATTAGTTTTTCGAGAAATGCGTGGTTTCATTTTTCTCATGGCTCGTGCGATTAAATCCTATTCATATCTAGTTCAAACAATTTCTCCTTATTTTATAACAGTTCAGCATAGACGAGTAGTTCTTCTTACATTTCGTTGTAATCTAACAATGATTTTTATCAGTTGGATGACCGGTTTACTTATTCCAAGCCTTTCATTTCATCGACCGTTTGCTTATCAATATGAACTAGATTCTCCTTTATGTGTTATTACAAGTAAAGTTTTTTCAATATTTTTTTATCCGACGATTTTTATATTCTTAATTTCTCTGGTTATAATTATTTGTCTCTATGGCTTTGTTCTATGGCATACAACACGCTTTAATCGTATTCATTCACAAAATATTTCTGTGATTAGAACTAAACGAAATATAAAAGTATTTCAAAATATTCTTATTATTTTAACTGTATTAATTATTCGTGCAGCACCTTATTTTATCTCGATTATAATTAATATTATAACTGAAATTCCACAAATATTTCATTTAATTTCGACTCTATTTATTTCAATGACTAATACATTCGAATCAATAGCTATATTCTTTACTAATGGAAATGTTAAAACAATTTTTTATATAAAAATTGGTTGGCATCATGTTGAACCAAGTAATAATATACCGGTGTGTACAAGAAGAGAACAATATATTACTATAATGTGAACAAAACTGCACTTTTACTTACTGAATATGTTGAATAAAAAGTTCTTCAGAATTCTTTAAATAAACTCGTTCATGTAATATTATCACAAAAATAAAAAAATTAAATTAATCTGTCTTCGCTTTGTTTGTCAACATTTAGTTAATTAACAACTACCAAAAGTAACGATATTATATAGAAACACCTTCCAGGTCAATCATTTTGGATCCTGAATCCCTAAATACTCGACAATTTCCTTCCAGAAAGACCCTGTTTCCAATCGTAAAGCTCAGAAAAATTACAAGAGTTTGGAAGTAAAAATTCAGCGATCTGATTTTTCTATTTCCGATCATAACCGAATAGAATCACCCATCGGGTTGCGGATTCGAAGTTCCTATCATTTTCCGAATCTTTCAACTGAACACGGTCAGTAATTCTTGACCAGATTTAGTTAGGATTTTATTTTATTAAAGGTTTGAATAGCTCTGTAATGTATTTACAGTGTACCTGTCGTTGAAACCATTTGTAAAATACCTATTTAAAATCATGTATACTAATTCAATTGACTATATTAACTACGACACAGAGTAACGTTTATCCATAGTTCGAACGAGATAATCTTCCCAACTTGAAAATCACCTCTAAGCTCGAATTCTATGCATAAGGTAGACCGGCATTAAGTATTAAAAGCTCTAAAATCATAACGGTATCTATGCCTTCCCTATAGAGCTATAGCTGTCTTCCTGAAATTTTATCGAATAGCATTGTATGCACAAAAAACTTGCATGACAATATTTCAATCTGTACTTCTGCCCTTAGATGGACTCATTCAAAACTAGAATATCCTGAAAATTTCGCTTCATTGCTTGACAAGATATTGTACATTTAGAAGCCACTCATATTACACGAAAAATTTGAGAATCTCATGTTTGTTGAAAATTCAATATCTCGTGAAGGAATGAACTGAAATTTTCAAGACATTGTAATTAATTACAAGTAGACCTATCTATAAGCAAAAGTGCAGGTTAAAATATTGTCATTCGAATTTTTTATTCATACAGTACTATAGGGTAAGTTTTCAGTAAAATGTCTATAACGCGATAGGAAAAGTCTAGAGATTTCTATCCTCTTGGGGTTTCTAATGTGTCATTGGCATCCATGTAATGCACAGAGCCGAACTCAAAAGCGGTTTTCAAATTGAAAAGGTTCCTTTGAAGTAAGTTTAACAAAGAAATGTGCAGCACGGTAAATTTGAATAATTTCATAGTTGCCTTTCTTATATGTGATAAGTTAATCTAAGACCATTTGTCTTGTAAAAATGTCGCAACACAATATTGTATAAAACAAACGACTTAATGGAATTTAAGAAAAAATGATTATATTTATGCTCAATTTATTTATAAAAGAACTCATAATTGTCATATCTCGAGTAAGTTTCATAACATTTTCATTGTGGTGCTGAGTGATAAGACTTATAATAGTCTATCTGCATTTCAGAGCTTGAAGACAAATGAATAAACAGGGACAGCTCATGAAAATAAACAAATATTTATTACTTGTTAATCAACTATTGAAAAAATATTTACATTTAATTCTTTTTATAAGTGAAAATATATGCTTAATTTTAAAAATTAAAACTACAAGAAAAAAATAGTTTGTTTAATCATAGCAATTATCAAGAAATATTACTTCGATTACGCTAGTAAATAGAAATAGCCAAAAGGTATTTTTACTGGCTGACATATTATATTCTTTTTATTAAAGATCTTTCATTTTAATCAATGTCAAATTGATTGAATAATCTCTTGTAAATTTTTCCATGTTACTAAATTTTCATTGTGAATGAAAATTTCTTCCAGATTATTAATATTATATTTATTGTTTTTTGTTATTATTACTATGAGTTTTTTTTTCTACTATAATTATTCTAGTTATTGCATTGATTTCTTTTACTGCGTTAATCATTTTTGTTAATACTACTTTTTTAGAATGAGAATCTTTACTCATATTCATGCCCTAACTGTTCATGATATACATGTCTTCTAGAGTATTCACATTTCCAAAGAATTTTCGTACCACTTTTGTAATCAATTATGTAGGAATATCTATTGAAGGTTAATAAAGGTGCTTTTTTTAGAGGTTTTTGACATAGTAATTTAAATAATTACTTTTTATAGGGTTATTCTGTTCTTGTGTACGGCTAATATATATGTGTATGTCTCGTTGAATACAACTTGTCATTATGTTACAATCGTGGAATTGACAAATTTTAGAACAATTAAATCAATCAATTTATGATGAAGGGCATTCTTTCACAAGAAATGAATTTATTGTATTATTGTATTTCGTTATGTTATGCAAAGCTCTTGTGAAACTTTGTATAGTGAGCAATTATCTCTGTCTCGAAATTAGATATACAGTATCTTGTGTTTTAAGCTAGACTAATAAGAAATATTTTTAAAATAATCTCTCAACAATTTAAGTTTGTTATTAAAGTGAAAAATAACATTTCCAAAGAAGAATTTTCAAGAGTTGTCTTTTTCACACTTACAACTTAAGTTTTTCTTACATCATTTAGTCTAGTAATTATTATTTTCTACATTCTAACTTACTAGATAATAATAAAAAGAAGCATTTGAGTATGTAAAAATGATTTTGTCTTCGATAATGTTGTCATGATTAGTGAATCTCGATATTTTTTGTGTTGTTGTTGCTAATAGTAATGAAATTTCATAGTCATTATATTTAATTCAAGTTTTGTTGAGTTTATCTGAAGCAATTTTTGAAATAGAGACCCTCTTCTTAATAGTCAATAAGTGAAAAACTTGTGTGATATTAAGACTTGTTGTCTCATACATATAAAAATGGACATTGTTAATGAAACTATTTTGTTTTATTTATAGATATTACATAAGATTATATTATATTTTTATCTGATTGTATTGTTCAAATAAACTGGTTCGTATATAATTGAAATAAAATGTAACAAATGAGTAATGGTCAATATAAGCAAATAATATTGATGTTCTATTCAAAGGAAGATCTTCAAGAGCTAATAATTTATTTATCTTTTAGTTATGCAACATTATAATTTACATTTGAAGGTTATTTTTAACAAATTAGAATTTCTTGTGATCTTATATTTTTCCAAATGATTCTAATATTGTTCTTTTATTACTAAGATTACAGCATCATTTAGTGGATTATTATCCTAAAGAGTATCAGCTGCAATTAGAGGTTTATACCTACTGTCAATTAGACTTTTCATTCATTTTATTGACGCGTGGTACTATGAAATTCTGAAATTCTAACTATGTATTGAAAAATCGATCTAGTTCTACAAAATTGTGCTCAATAATGCCATACTGTTACTAAAATTTCTAAATTCTAATCGAACTCGCTACTTTCTATAAATTTCTTAATTTTTTTCTTTTAAAGTTGTATGAAACAACCTAGCTTAATGCATTAAAAAAGATATATCAGTAAATTATTGAATTCCTTATAGTCGTACATGATGATTTACTGACAGTAGCAGATTTTTAGTGATAAGATGCCTATTGAATAAATAATTAATAATATAAGCCTTATTTAATATGTTATCGTCTCGAATGAAATCATACAATATGAAATAAATCAAGGATTGTCGTAGATTATTAATTAATACTTCGATCTCTCTTGAAAATAAATTACAAAAATTCTTTTGTTTTCATGAGAATCCTTGCTTATTCTATAGTGCACACATATTACTCAATAAATTTAATATTCTTCAGCAAATGTTGACAAGAATATAATGAAATAATATAATACATTAAAATAAAATGTCTTTAAAGTACTTTGCTTCATTCAGAACAATTCCTGCTATTTATAATATGTAATATTTCTCTGCAATAATGAAAATTAGCATAACATCTTTAAGAGCTAGGGGCAAAACAAAACACTTGCGTTAAAAAATATTAATAAATTCGATAATTTTAATATAAAAGACATAGCACTCCTGCTATTCGTATAGAGTGACAAATTGACCATATTTTCTCGAAAAAATTTGTGAACCAAAGATGTTCTTCAATCTTGAGAAATTCTCATTTCTAATTCTAGCAGCCTCGAGACACGAGTATCTTCAACCGAATTACTACAAAGGCATTGAGACTCCTTATTTATGATAAGATTTGGATTCTTTCACTTCCGACTTTTATTTTCATTAAAAACTTTTCTGTGTTACCAAATGTGTCAAGAAATGATTCTATATATATGCAACAGTGGTCATTCTACAATGTTTTAAAATTTTTGTTCATATCTAATTCATTAATAATTCACGCACATAACCACATTTAACAAATTCACTGAATTCTAAATAAATACGAATAAATAAAAATTTGTTTCTTCGATTGAATTCTTTTACCTTTAAATGAAATATGATTGTTACGATTAGTAAATGTTTGTTGAAGATGTTCATATAATAAAATTTTTTTCTCAAAATTATTTTCATTTGTATTAAATGCCTTAAGTAATATTAAAAGTGAATCAAATTCTTCTTGTTCAATTGTACCATTTGAATTTTGATCAAATAAACAATCAAATGTTGAACGTAAAATAAAATCATTTATTTCAGCAGCATTATTAGCAAATACAGGTGCAATTAAATCAATAAATTGTTCAAAATTCATATTGAGTAATTCTAAAATCACGAAACAAATCATAGAACAAAAACTTTCGATTTATTTTTCAAAATATACTTTTTGAAGAAATATACTTTTGTGCTTCAATAAATTGTTTTTCAGTCATTCGTAATCGAAAACTTTGACATGGATTTGCTTGGAACCAACAAAATTCAACTAGAAAAAAAGAATAATAATAAAAGTAATTCAAAATTTTCATTACAAACCTTCAACAGTACGTTTTCCAATTGTTTTAACATATTTTGAATATTTATTGACAAGCTCAGCATTGAACAATGATGTTGTTTGTTGTAATCGTTTTTGTTCGGCAAGTACTTCAAGACTCATATTTTTCTCAAATAATATCAATTGAAAGTTATTTTTTTATTTTTTATTTGTTTTTACACACATCAAAATTATTTCCACTTTTTTCACACTTAGTTATTCAATGAAACTGATGAATTTATTTAAATGTTCATGTAAATGTGACATATGATCATGAAGAGAAAAAAAAGAAGTAAATGCCAAAAAGACTAATGAATATACGGATAGAATGACTTTATTTAAATGTGTGTATCAGAGTATAAGAGAAAAAGGTCGTTTTTTTTATTCATCGATATGAAAAACTAAAGATTCATATGACGCATATGTTGATGAGAATCAAATGAGAATGAAATATAATTCAATACTACTACCGTAACTTTTTCGTAAAGAATAGCCTTTGCCCAGAAGCAACAGATGATGGCTTCTTCTCATTCTTTCTACTATTTGGTTACTTTTTGAATACACATAATCATGAATCAATATTGCATAAAATAAGCCAAAATATAAAATCAATTTTGACATTCTTTTGTTAGTAATATAATTGAAAAAAAAATTGATTGTCTGGCTGAAAAGAAAAATGACAAGAACAATTTCCTTTAGTTCACTGCTCTTTTTTTTTTTATTGAGGTCATATGTCAGAGGTTAGACGACATCATATCAAATAAAATACCTTCAAGTTATTGGTCATCTTTCTCTTTTCTTCTCTTTTGCATAATAATTGAAGTAGAAAATAACAAATTGATCATTCTTGTTTATCTAAAATATTTTTCATTCGTTTAGCAATATAATACCAATCATAAATATAATCATATTTATAATGATATTTAAGAAAAATCGATCGAATTTGTGAACGTATATATACGTAATCAGGTTTTTCATTAAATGTTAATGAACGAATATAATGGTATATAGTTTTATATTGTTTAGGTAAATTTTTAAATAATTCATTTGATGTTATATTCATTTTTTTCATTGCAATTAATTCATATTTTTTTCTTTTATCACTTGCTTTTATACCCATCCAAGGTAATTCTCCTCTGGATAAATAAATAAGAATATATATTAATGATTCAAGATCATCACGACGTGATTGTTCACATCCTTGATGAGTATATATACCTATACTTATTTAATTGATATATACATATGAATGATTAAAAACAGAATATTTACTAGCATAACGAGCAGTGCCTGTTAAATTTTTGCCATAGGCCAATGGAATATGAATATGTGTAATTGGATCTCGATATTGTTTACAAAGACCAAAATCAATAACATGTAATATATTTGCTTTTTGTTTTCTACCCATAAGAAAATTATCAGGTTTTAACTAAAGAATATATAATTATAATGCAAATTTTTATTATTCAATTAATTATTTACATCTCGATGAATTAAAGATTGTTCATGCATATGTTGAATACGTAAAATAGCCTGATCAATGAGCATAAGAACTGTTTTTTTACTAAATTTTCTTTGACAAAAATTAAGTAAATCTTCAAGCGACGGACCTAATAAATCCATAGCAAGAATAATAAAACCTTTTTCCTCAATAAGAGCTATCATTGATGGATAACCTGTACCTAAGAATATATTGATATTATGGAAATAATTCATTTAAAATCAATTTACAATTTTCCATTCTTAAAAATATTTGTTGCTCAATACGTAATTGTGGATGTTTTGAATCACTTCGTTCAGTTTTGATAGCACATAATAAATTAGTTGTCATGTCTTTAGCAAGAAAAACTTCACCAAAAGAACCTGAACCAAGTCGTTTTAATATTTCAAAACGATCATTAATGATTGATGATAAAATTTGTAAACGTTCATTATTTTTTTCTTCTTTATTGTTAATTTTAACTTGTAGATCACCTTGTGTAATTGGTACATTTGCCATTAACCATGGTTAATTAACGCTATAAAGCGTTCATTTTACCTCTGGTTTTTGTCTTATTAATAAAGAAATTATTTGTTGAAAAAATTATTCATTAAATTCGGGCGCCCTAAATTGATAAAATATCGATTGTTTGTTTTTCTTAGTATTGTATATATTTTCAAGAAACCAGATTGTCTACAGTTAAGTACGTTAGGAATGCCTGATAAAGGATGAAGTAATTAACATAGAAGTTAACTCGTTAACTGAATTGCTGTTAGCATCGGTAAAAATAATTAGTTAACATGTCCATTTAAACCTTAAAATAAATGCTATAGTTATCAAGTTTTCCAACTCTTTATTTCTATTTTCAAGGAGATATTTGTCTAACTTTTTATCGATATATTCTTCATCACTATTTTCGTCTATTTTACTTGTATTAAGACTTCGTTGGACAGTCTATGCGGTGATTGAACACCATAGAAGTCAATTCATTTATTCAATATGTTCAATCGAAAAACTTTAAAATGTCCGATCTTTTCAATAAGACGTCAACAAAAATTCGTTTATATCAAAATTCTTCCACATCGATCTGCTTTGTCCATACAGACTGTTTTATAAGACTTGACCCACGAAAAAATTAGTTCAAATACAGACAGAAAATAACTTCTAAACAACTGTTTCTATACAGGCTTTCGTGTCAATTTTTCAAATAACATATTATTGAAAAATCTCTTCTTTTTATTACAAGAGAAGATCAATGTTGTATCCACATTTTTTGTTACGGATTGGAAAACACCTATTTTTGGGAGCACAGACCTCTCGTGCGTGTTCCAGTAACCACAAATTTCGGAAAAACAAACACAATCTTCGAGATGTTATCCCCTCGGCCGCACACCGGATAAATCACTGAGAAGATATTATCTAATAGTATGCTATTTGAAAGAATGACACCACAACTTATATAAAAACATCGGGTTAGAGGTTTTTTGTTTGCCTATAATATAATTTTATCGTGCTTTAAGAATTATGAAATATCTTTTATCTATCAATAGCATCATCAACACATATATGAAACGTTTTTTTCTATTAATTTTATTAAAATTTTTCCATCTCGAATAACAAATAAAAAAACAGGAAAACTACTACTTCTAATACGTCTTAAAATTAATTTTATTAATTTTGTTCTTTTGCTTTAGCTATATCGAAAGATCCATTGTCTGTAATTAACGAACATGAAATCAAACAAAGAATTTTATTCTTATTTTTTTCTGTTGTTGAATTTTTCATACAAACAACAACAACAACAATAAGAACAAGAACAATGAACAAGCACAAGAAAAGAAAACAAAAAGGAAACTAACACACAAAACACATATAAAGACCAATGTTTTTCTATTTCGATTCACTCGAACTTGATCGCGAATATCGACGTTCTTTTTTCTTAGGTGATTCAGCTGTATTTCCACTTGTACCTGTTCGTCGACTAGATGCCGGTGGTGATTGTCCACGTCGATAATTTCTTGATGGTGGTGAATATCCACTTCTTCGATCATTATATCGTCCTCGATCACGTTCACGTTCTCGATCTCGATCACCCATACGTCTTGGTGGTGGATAATGACGTGCCGGTGGTAATGGTGAACGTCGACGTCTTCGATATGGTGATAATTCTCGACGATTTCTATCAGCAGATAAATGTGCTGGTTGACCATGAACAAGTACACAAACAATTTCTTGTCCATCAATTTGTCCAGTTTCCATATATTTACATGCTTGTTCAGCACCATTTGGTGAAACATATTCAATATGAGCAAAACCACGATGAAGATTTGGATGTATACGATGTGATGGTAAATCAATATCTTTTATTTCACCAAATGTTCCAAATATTTCAGCTAAATGTTCTTTAGTAACATTTAATGATAATTTACCAATATAAATTTTGGTTGCTTCTTTTTCTTTTTCTTGTCGACGTGATGCTGATGGACTTGCATTACGATGTATTGGAACGGTAGGAGCAGTACTTTTTTTATCATCAATTGATCCATGTTCTAATGTTTTTTTATTTGATGTTTTATTATTAATAACTTTAGTTGATGTACGATCATTCTTTTTTTCTGGTGATGATGCAGCTGATGATGAACGACTGGTTGACGATGATGAATTAGATGATGACGATGATGATGAACGACTTGAAGCTGATGATGAACTTGTGGTACCTGATGAACTAGATCCACTTGAACTTGAACGTGATGCACGTTTACGTTTTGCTTTCAATGGAGATTCTTTTGGATTTTTTATTGTATCTGTTTCAACTGTCATTCTATAATTGATTTTTATATAAATTAGAATTTATTAAAGAAAAATGAATGTTGTTTTTGCTTACCTTCTTTTCTTTTTCAATCGATTTGTTCGAGTGTATGAAAATTGGAATTATGTTATTATCTGAAACAATAGACTAGATATTTGTTTAGAAATACATATAGTAAAACATGTTATCAAGGAGATAAATTTGAAATAGTAACACCTGTGACGTTTTGAAAAATGTCCAACAGACGAGAAAGAGTATGAAAATATCTGAATTAGAGCAACGGCCATCTTTGTATAAATGAAGGTTTTTAATGTCCAATGAAAAATTGAGTATGTACCTCTTTAGTTGTAAATATATTGTAAAATGATCATATTTTGTATATTAAACATAAGAACAATACAATACGAATAATTTATTATTACATTAAATATAAAAAACTTCCAGTAGATGTCACTCGAAGAGAAAAAATTTTCATAGCAACGACCATCTCATATCAATGTCTTCAACATTGAGTATTCCAAGCAAAAGCTAAATATCCGAGATAGTTATGATTTTGTGAAAGTATCGTGTTTTGCCTTCTACTATAAAAAATACAGCATCTTAATGCTACTTTGTAAAATACAAAAGTGCTTTGTTTATTTATAACGCCATTATTTATAAGTTGTTCAATATTTCTCTTTTTTATAGATTCTAGTTGTAGATAAAGCTAAGAAAATTTTTTTTATTTTAGTATTATTGAATTTATCATCGTTATTGAAATTTCTTGTCATCAATACTTCCTTCACTTGCTCCTTTCCTTGTTCTTATGGAATATTTGTAACTATCTGTTTACTTTTTTATATTGAGAAACGTAATAATCTTGTTTTTATTTTTCTTGAATCCTTGCTTCCCTGAGATAATTTGAGGTACTTTGCTGTTTCAAACAAAATACCTACAGATACTTTGTCATTAAAAAATTGGTACTTAAATGTACCTAATTTCAGGTTTCTATTCAAAACTCTGTCTCATAGTCATCGGATTTGATTAATACTCGAAGTACAACAGGTACATTATCTACGAACATTTATTTGGTGGTCACAATGTTGAAAGTAAGAATTGTTAGATAGTTATTCAAGTCTTCAGAAACATTTGAAACACTCAGTTTAATGAAAATGTTTAAAACGAACAATTTCTTCAAAAATAAATAAAATATCAAACATTGTTTTTCTTAATTTCAATTCAATATACAACATTTAGTTTAACGAATCACTAATGTACAATTAAGAAAAAATAAAGAAAATAATACAAATATTATTTAATAAAATTTACATTTGCCTAAACAATTATGATGAGAAAGTTGTCTCATACAAATTTTATTTTTTTCTTACAATCCTTAAAACACATTTTCTGTAATGTCATGTTAATCATGCATTCAGTTATGTAAGCAATGGTCCACAAGTGAAATGCATAGCTGTTAGTTAGATAATCAATGAAGAACAAGGATGTCATTTTGAATAGACTTTCGTTTCTAAAATAAAAATAAAATCAATGAATAAAAGATTTCAATAAGAAAGATTTAATCATACTTTTGTTGTTTGTATTAATTGTTCACCACTAGATCGATTTACCTTTCGTTGATCCATTAATATTTCGTGAACATCATCATTATCATCACCGCACGATGTTGGATCAAATACATGAGCACAATGCGGACATGAAAGTGCTCTCTTTTTGGAAATTTCTAGTGGCATTTCTATGAATGAAATAATGTTTGTTTATGTAATATTTATATTAAATAGTCAATATTGATTTCTTACCAGTAAGAACCGTTGAGTAAACAGTTGTATCCCATTCCGGAATAAAAGATTTTCCATCTGAACCCAATGCACAAAATGTGAATGCCAATTGAGATTTATCCAGTCGATAACTTTGAATTAATTGCTTTGGATGTAATGGAGGTGCTTGTTTCAAACTTTGTTTATCCGATATACCAAAAACATCTTGAAATGGATGAAATGGTTTGAGAGGTTGAAGTGCTTTTAATTCATCTTGTTTCGATTTAATCAATACCAAATACAATCTAGAATAAAATAAAATCGAAAGAGAAATAGATATAAATTACTAACCTCATTATTCCCACATCGTCAGTCGTGATGGATATATAAACTGGATTAGCATCTGATACATCAAGTGATACATTATCTCGTTGAAATCGATAAGGCATAGAATATCGATTACCCGATTCAGTAGGTATTGTTAGCCAATCGACTCGAATCACACCAGAAACACCCAATGGTACCTAAGATATTAATAAAAGTGATAGAATTCAAAGAAAACCTTTAGAAAAGATTTCTAGTACTTTAAGTGTAACACAATGGTTACCAACGCGATCAGCCACATATCTTGGTTTACGAGTTTTCCCATCGTATGTAAAATAATCGCTTTTATATCGTGGGCGAAAAAACTCTTCTAATGGATGAACGATTTGTATTTTATGCGAAGGTTTTATCGGTATTTGTGACTGACCAACGTCAACAGACCGTGATAATTCAATTGGTCTTGTATTCAATTCTGATCTTTTTTTATTATCTATTAACAAATAAAAAACATAAAATATTTCATAATCCATAGTAATTAGAAAAGTTTCATTACTAACCGACAGATGACGTAGACGAATTATTCATCAATGCATGATTATTATCATGTTTGACAGAAAAATCTGAAAATAAAGGATTAATAGAAAACGTTTTATTTTTGTTTTTCTAACCTTTTGTACATTCAGGGAGTTTTAGTCCCAAATATTGGTCAAATCCATACGATTCAACAGGATTTTCTGAAGCTTCTAAATAAAAAAGTATCAAACAGCATATTATTTTTCCTTAACTATTATTCTTAATATCTTACGAGTGAGATTATAATGATTACATGCACCAGAAAGTGGAAAGTCCAATGAAAATAAATCTTGATCAAATAAATTGTCAAGGCCCAATTCAGATAATACTTCATTTTCCTCTTTTAGAGATGATAAAATATCACCATGTGCTTCTTCAGATATACGTTCGACATATACATTATTAAAAAATGTCATACTTATAGTAATTTTGGACTATTTATATTTTTTATCTTTTTCTTTCGTCAAGATTGGTGACTGGTGATGATGTACAGCCAAGTGGCAGTCACCAAAATTAATATCTAAGAATAAATTATTGTTTCTTTACTTATAATTATTAGATTGACTTTTCTTACCTTTGACGATTATTTTTTGTTTATAGTCCTTAGGTTTTATGTTATATCGTATTTATATCAAAGCAAAAAGCCATGCAATAGGTTTTTTCCGTGCCCTATTTACTGTAATAGGAAGAACAGAATGAAGAAAAAAGAATGCATAAAAACTTATGACTCAAATGTCTTTCGCAAGAAAAAATAATGGATTGCTTAAAGAAAGAAAAAAAGGTATTGCATATCAGATTTAGAAAAGAAATCTAACGATAGATGAGCTGTATCATGAAAAAGACAGTCCTGTATTAATATTTTATTTGTACACCTGATGACTCGTACATTTTTTGAGGTCATCGCTAATAGATACAATAACGAAAATATCAGAGAATACGTGACTTGTCAATAATATAAATGAATGATAAATATTAAACAACGAAATATTTCTACAAGCAATTGTTTATAATATCAGTTTTTTTTTTGAAAATATGAATTCATATTGTTTGATAATTAAAATAGAGCCATTTATTTTTTGTTTAAATATTCACCTACTCTATAACAGTACAATACATCTATCATAAATAAATTATTCAGAGAATGAATTATTTGAAGAATTAATATGATTGTAAAACATTATGGCTTGACGCAATCATTTTAAATTCTTTAACATGTATTTATATAATTTGTTAAGTCTTTCTCTTGAAATTCATTATATAAATTATATTTGTTTTGGTTTTTATTTGATTTCATTGCAGTTTATTTTTTAAAAAATAAGAAAAGAAATATATTTAAGTTTCTTGAATAAAGTATTTATAAGCGTAACGTTAGCAAATGATTATTGTACATCGGTTTGCATGAATGATCACAATTGAAGCAGTCAGCTACCGCTTAAATTTGTCTTTATTCTCACTAAAATAGAACAAAAAAAGCAGATAGAAAAAAAACATGATAATGAATATGATACCTTTTGTCATTTTTACTCCAATCATTTTTTTTGTCGTTTTACTATTTTGTCATGACTGGAGTCATGAATATCGTACATTGTAAATTCGAATGAGTGCAAGCAATTTGGGCAAGTTGTTCGTCTCTTTTTTGAATTATCAGCCGATATTTCTAGAAAATCAAAATATTTTTTTTATTATGAAATATTCAATTAATCAAATAAGACATTAATTATTTATTTACCTGTAAGAACAGTTGAATAGACAGTTGTATTCCATTCAGATATATATGATATTCCATTGGAACTGAGAGTGCAAAATGTAAATGCTAATTGAGATTTATCTAATTGATATGTTTGAATTAATTGTTTTGGATTTAATATAAACATTTGTTTCAAGTCATCTTGACCTGATGCACCAAAAATATCTTGAAATGGTTTGAGTGGTTGAAGTGATTTCAATTCATCTTGTTTCGCTTTAATTAATACTAAATAGAGTCTATATTAAAGAAAAAACGAATTAATGTCACTTCTGCGAGAGAAAACAGATCAAATGGCAAAACTTCGAAGCAGGTAAAGTTCGAAAAATGAAAAATCCAGAAAGATAAAATCTCAAATGTGCAAAATCACAAATAGTGGGAACCCAAAAACCCACATCTAAAAAGTATGAAATATAAAAGCAATTTGACTAATTGATAGATACGTGATTTATTAATTATAAATTTGTTGCAAAAAGATAAAAATTTACGAATTAAGAGTATGTATGTACAATATTGCCTATGATGCGATGTTTTACCGACTTTGCTCGAGAGATAACTAATACAAAATCAAAGTAAAAATAATGATGGTTACAAAAATAAGCAGCTGTGATTAAAGAATCATTTCTAGATTTTTTTATCCTTTGTCTAAAATAATAATAAATTTTGAAGATATTTTTTCAAATTAATTTCTGCATTTTTGAAACCTTGACGGTAAGAGTGTGATTTTAAGTTGATTGAGAGTTTCTATTGAAATTCATCTACGCCGACATCAAGGTCCGTACCGTCACGCTATATATACACAAGGCTGAATAGAATAACGAAATAAAACAGAAAAATATACAAAAGCATGACTCATCATCTAAAAAAAATGCTCGTTTCGGCTGTTCCGATGAGAGAAGATGACCTCTAGCAGTAATGTAATGTCAACAGTTGTTTACGAACTTTCAAGGTTTTTGATATTCGATATTTTATCTTTCAAGATGTTGTACTTTGACTTTCTCTATTTCGAGTTTTTACTCATCGAGCTTTTTCAACTCGACATTGTTCAATATTTTACTATTCGAGATTTTGCCGTTTGATCTCATTCTTTTCAAGCTAATAATATTTCTCGCAAAAAAAGAACGAGATAGAATTAAACAAGAGATAGATATGAATTACTAACTGCATTATTCCTGAACTATCAGCCTTAATAGGTATGTAAATTGGGTTGCTATCAGATACGTCAGGAGATTCGTTGCTTATTTGAAACTTGTAAGGCATGGAATATCGAATATTTTTTTTAGTTGGAATGGTGACCCAATCCACTCGAAGAAAACCTTGAACACCACTTGGTACCTATGAAATTAAACGTATAGATCGTTCATAAATTAAAAATAGTATCGAGACAATATTACTTTGATGGTAACAAAATGATTGCCAATTCGATCAGCCACATAGCGCGGTTTTCGAATCGTTCCATCTTGAGAAAAATAATCACTTTTATATCGTGGTTTATAACTTAATTCAAGATCATGAGCAATTTCAATTGGACACAATGGACTTTGGGGTTGTTTTGATATTGTCACACCAACGGATTCAGATAATGGAATACGACTAGACTTTGACTTTATATGTATATCTTTATCTAGTTGAATATGAAAACCACAACATATTATTAATTAATATCAAATAGAAAAAAGATTTAGTTTACTTACGAATAGGGTTTTCGAATGAATTTGGAATATAATTAGACAATGCAAGATGATCGTTAGTTTCGATTTTAGTACCTATATAGATATATTGTTGTTAGAATAATCTTAATTTTTTTAGATGTTCTTTTGTCTTACTTGTCGAACTATCTCGTCCCGGAAAATATAAATCAAGTTCACTTTTGTCGATACCACAATTTCGTGGATCTATATATACATATATATATATATATATGAAGAAAATTCATGAACATTAGTTCAAATGATTGAAGTTTTCTTTTATCCTACCTATGAAATCTATTGAATCACATGAAAGCGAAATATTATCGACAGTTGCAACATGGCAGTCCTCTTGAGAATCACAATTTAATGCAAGTGATTTTTGTATGCCATTATCGTCGAATATAGTTGTACTGATATATTCTTCCACTGACCATTGGATATGAGCCATATTCAATGTATAAAAATGTTTACTAAGTTCTAAAAAAAATTATTTTTACGAAAAAAAAATATAATTATTACATGGTGATTTTTTGTCATCCTATTGCGTTATTTTTATACAAGCTATGTTGTAATTTTTTAATGAAGGTATATGTTGCTTATAGATGATGACGGAAAAGAACGAAGAAAAAAAAACCCATAAAGAATAAAAGAAAAAAAATAAGGCAAAAAGGAAACCGCTTCTTACATACTTCTAATAGTTACCCATGATGATAAGTTAGTTTTTTTTTCTTGTAATTGATCGTGAGGGATCAATCCTATGACTAATGATGGTTACTATGCATTACTAATAGTATTACTAAGTCGAAAAATAATTTCACAAGAAGCCTAAGTATTGTTTCATTAAATTTACTCACTATCGAACAATTAATATTTAACTTTAAGTATTCTACAATGAATATACTGAGTCTTTCTTGGTTTTATTCCGATTTATTGTCTATAGAAAAAGTTAGAAAACTTGAATATGTAAGACTCGAAATACGCACATGTATTTATTTATTTTTAAATTGAATAATGAAATATTTTGTTATGTAATTGCTGTTATTATGAAATGAATGTTGAAGAAGTTTTGAAATAAATGTTGGTTGTATGATTTGATACTCTGAAACTTAAGTCAATATTTGAACTATCATTCATAATCTACGATAAAATGTTGATAACATTCTCTTGGTTCTAATCTTTTACATTAATTACAAAAGTCATTATTATTTTTTTTAAATCTGTTTTTCACACGCAGCTATATTAAGATGAAATTTATGGAGAATAAAAAAAGAAGAACCAAAATCAGAATAAAGTGATAATAAATTCAAAGAAGCTTCGATAATGGTAGAACATATATATATATAAAGAAAATGTGTAAACTAAGAAAGTCAAAGTTATGGAAAATTATTAATAAAGTTGTTCATTTAATAGTTTTTCTCTTTTTATTTGTCTGATTGTTAGTAGTTGTCTAAAAAATATTTAGAAAAAAGAAAAGAAAATTTATACGTCAAACAATAAAAGTTTTTCTATACTTTTGAAGTTGTGCGTGTTCTACTTGCATTTTTTTGTCTTTTATTTATTCTTGGCATGACATTATCATCAGTAGGATCAAAGCAGTGTGCACATTTTGGACAGCAAATTTTTTTCCCAATAGTTTTCGTAATTGTTTCTAAGAAAACAATAAATAAATTGGATGATTATTAAGCATATATTCAATAACTTACCTGCTTTATTATTTGATGTTGCTAATTGTTTTGCTGATGATTCAGTTATAACTGATGAAATAACTGTTGTTTCAGGATGTATATCATATGAACCATTTGGTAATTTTGTACATAATGTAAATGCTATATGTGATTTCTCAAGTTGATATGTATTGATTAAATCTTTCGGTGCCAATTTTTCTTCATTAATGATATCTAAAATATGATGAAAGAGAATTATTTTCTTTTCTTTTGTTCTTTGTGTTTACTTTGTATGTTAGTAATTGTATCCGTAAAAGGTATTAATGGTTGAGCATCATTCAATTGATCTAATTTGGATTTAATCAAAACGAGTTGAAGTCTAGAAATTGGTTAATAAAATTTATTTATTTATTTATCTGTCTTTTTTCTTTGTCATGTCAATTCTTTACTTCATAGTAAAATTATTATTTTTTTGTGCTTGTACAGGTATATAAATAGGATTCTGATCCGGCACTTTAGCATCGCGATGATTTATTTGGAATTTATATGGACTATAAAAATGTCCATGATCATCCATTGATATTGTTATTAATGCAACACGAATGTATTCGTTTGTAAAACCATGTTTATATTCATTTGGCATCTATATTTTGAAATAATCTATTTAATTAATCGTATTTTGTATTTTTTTCCTACTTGTAATGTAACATAATGATTTCCAACTTTATCAGCAACATAGCGTGGCCGTCGAGAAGTGCCACTTTGTGGAAAATAATCACTTTTATATCGCGCTCTATATGTATCTTCTAATGGTTGAAGAATTAGTAATCGATTTGGTGCTGGAACTGTAACAGCCACCGATGTGGATAATGGTATTGACGTACTGAAAAGATTTTTTGTTGGTGCTAAAAAAATGGATGAATTTGAAAGAAAACGATAAATGTGAGATTTTTATTTTTGAAAAATACATTTTTCAATATGTGGACGAGCTATTGGTAGTACTGGATCGCTTGATTTAATCATGGCCAAATGTTCATCAGTGCTTGGTATTCCTAAAGCAATAATTACCTCTTACGGAATTTTTGTAAATATGATAACCAAATACTGGTTTGCTCATAAAACTCTAAAATCGATTATACAAATAAAGAAAAGACAGCAGATTGCGTTCAACTTCAACCAGCACCAAGTAATTGGGTACTTGCCAACTCACATAAAGTTTCCGAAAGTCTTGTGGATTTTCTTGCATAACTTCATGAATAGCCTTGTGGTTTCATATTATAATATAAATCTCATAAAGTTGAACGTTTGGTCTTTTGTAAGATTAGAGCTTCAGCAGCAATCGGAATTACCTAGCATGATATTGGTTTTAGGATTCTACACAACTTTACGAATTTTTGTTTAGTTTAACAGGACTTCGAATAGTTTTACGTAGAGAGAACTTATAAGTTCTCATAGACCTCTACATCCAAAATTTCTTCTTTTCTACTTGATATACATGTAGAAAGATATTATCATACTAAAAGTACATGGGAAATAGAGAATACCGTATGATAGGAGAAAATAAGAAGATCGTCAAAGTTATCATCTACATAAAAGCTTAGCCATTACATATATATATACATATATACGGATACTGTTACCAAAGAGTTAAATTAATGCAGAAAATTTCGTTAAACAATATAAAATAAAACATACGATCAGCCATGTCATTTGATTCTATTGGAGAAAAAACATCTGCATCATCGTTTAATAATTCACTTATTTCATCCATAGTAGAACTAGGAACTATTTTGCAAAGAATACTTTATTTTATTTTAATTAAATTTATAAAACTAACCAGAAGATGGTTCCAGTGTTCTAATATCATCTAGCAAATTTTTGAACAATTCATCTGGATATAGTGTCATATTTAAGTCTTAATAAAAATAAAATAAAAAAAAATGTCTTTGTATCATATTTATTAACCTGCAACATCGATCTCATAAAATGATTCCCATGTATTATAATCATAGCGAATGCGAGTACCTAAATCATTAAAAAAATATTTAAATACTTTATCAGACAATATAATGATAACATTATATCTATATTACCAATTTCTTCAGTTGATACTGATGATTGAATAACATCTTCAAAGAAATATAGGTAAGTTTGAAAACTAGTCATACGTATATACATTTTTTGATACATACTGGGTGTGAGAATAAAATCAAGATTATCCAACGGATCAAGGTTAGATGTGTTAGCTGGAAAAAAAATGATTATAAAATATTATTTGATTAATCATTCATGTTTACTTGGTTGGTCCATACGGTTTATGTCTATGATGTTTAACAAAATAATAATTTAGATAATAACATTTCATGAACCACTATTAGTGATTGTAAGTAAAAACAAATCTATAAACATATGAAGTATGTTTTTATTATTGACAGAAAATATAAGAATATATATATGTGACCTTGTTGCATAAAAGGAAAAGCAGCTATATAGAAATTACCACGTGCTATTATTTAGTGGAGTCGACAAAAAAACGTTCGGATTACTTATTGATGTAAAACACTTTTTCATGATAATTGTAAAAAGAGAAGACGAATGAAATATATTTACTTACCCATTTACTATGTTTTTTTTTGTTCTTCTTCTTACCGTCATGAATCATTTTTCCCGATTCTCGGTTTTTTCCAACTTTAGTTGTATGCTCTTATTCTTTCTTTTTTTTTTTGCTTTTATTCTCTCATTTACACAAGGCTATTTTTGTTAGATTCTCTTTTTATGACGCATTTGTCATAACAACATATATCGATAAGAACAAAAAAAAATACCCAAGTGCAAATAGGATGCCAAAGAATGAAGTGTATATATGTATATGACGAATCAAGAAAAAAAATGCTGTACTAACACCCATGTCAAAAAACGTAGTGACATAAAACATAGACATGAAAATGATTCAGTATACGAAAAAAAAGAACATTGCTAAAATAAATACTTTCGCTAGTATAAATAATATGTTTTTATTTTATTGGCCGAAACTAATATCACGCTAAATGAATTAAATGTAGTAAACGGAAAAAAAAGCACTGGGTAATAATTGAGTCATTGCATGAAAATAACGAAAAAGCAAAATAAATATTAATAATCTTGATTACTGTGTTCTTAGAACAAAATAATTAAAACACGACGAAAGACGTTGTGTCGCGGATGAGGCCGTTCTGCAAGAATAGTTATGAACTATCTACAGATGAACCTTTGACTTGATTTATTTTACAATTAGATTTTCGAGTGAACTAGAAAAAAATACAAAAAAAAACAACATTAGAAAATTTTGTATCATAATCATTTTTCACGTATATCATTCTTTAATTTTAGTTCTTTTTTGTAAATAACAAATTACTTTTATGATACTAGATAGAATTCATATATATATATGTTCAACTAAGGCGTAATTTAGATTAGGTCATATTATCTTTGATCAATTAAACCTTATGGATTTATAAAGAAACTAACAGGGATAGCGTTTATTATTAGAACCGAATATCTCATTCATTTTAAAGGTTTTGTATCATAGGTGAAGATATCTTCTCTAGCAATAGATAATCTGATATGCGATAAAATGTTATCATATAACTCCGCAATTACTCTACAATATTATCCCTGAAACACAATTTTTTTTCTAATTTTCCTAATTACTCGGATTGTAGCGCCTGCCAGGGTCCCAATGAAAGAATCATTCAAAAAAGGATGTCCCTCATGTCGCGTGTTCAGATGCTGTGATGTATGCGATTAGCATAATCAAATCTGAGATTTCTAATTGAGAAGTCCACGAGAAATTAAATAGATCCTATTTTACTTCTATACTTGTCAAGCTATTATGACTTTCATATTTTACATTCTGTAATTCTTGTAGTACCCATAGTTCCTTTTAGTTCATTGAGGCCCTTCACTCTCTTTAGTCCTTTCAGTCCCTGTAGTTTCTTTATAGTATCTGTTGATATGTGTGTACGTAAATGATCATGCTTCCTTCACTCACACTGAAAATCACTAAACGGACTAAAACGATCAAAATGTTCTTACAACTTGAAAAGAATACATCAACTACTGAACCTCGACATATGAGCTTCTCATTATTTGAGATCTCGACAGTACAACTTTTGATATTTAAGCCTCTCAAATGTAGTTCGGATCAAAATAAATAATAAGCTATATGTATATTATTCAATTAGATTCGACAATATACTATACAAAGATATACACAACTAATAAATCACTCTCTTCGATCAGTGCGCCAGCAAATCTTTTTTAAAGGAATAAAAAGAATTCTTAGTATTTAATTAGTAGCTATTTACTGGACGCATAGTACATATCTCAAAACAAAGAAAACATGTTCAAGCCTTCTTCATATCACTCTTCCTATTTATGTCAATAACACAATTATCACAAGTAAAAACCAACTTCTTGTTGATAGTTTTCGATTTCGACGAGCAAACAATCGTCAAAAAACGTGGGGAGGGGTATGGATGCCGGTGTGTTGGTATCAATGAAGAAAAAACTAAGAACTACAACCTCACTCACAGTTACATAGTCACACTCAGAAACTCGAATATTGAAGCTCAACTGTCGTGTCACAGGTTAAAAGGCGTGTAAGCGTAAAAGAGCATACATTTAATTTCTCGTGAACCTACGTTCTAAATCGTTTGTTTTTTTTTCTGACTTTGAACACATTATAGATTAGTTTCCAATGAAAAAATTTACCGCATGTTGATTGCTTGTTGATTTTGATGAGTTGAATTTCTTAGGTGGATTTATCATAGCCATACAAATGTTGCCCTTTCTTTTTTTGGGCATTTTTTTGTTTGATGAAGCTTTTCGTTTAACACCTTTTTTTGCTGCTTTTTCTAAAAATTAGATGTCATCAGTTAGATTGATAACGATATTCATCGATATAATGTACTCACGTTCATTAATTATCTCTGTTTCACATTTAATATTTGAAATCATAAAAATATTTTCTTGTTTCAATGCTAACTGAAAGATAATTTTATAGCAAAGTAGATCATAATCAATGGTGAGTTGTTTTCCTTTTGCTACTTTGCCAATATCATCTTCATTTGTAAGTGTATCTATAATGAACAAACAAGAATTAATTAAAAATTAAAAAACAAACAAAAATACAAACATTTTTCTGTTATTCTATCAACAGTTAATAGATTAAATGATGTTAAATCAAATGTATAATCTTCAAATTTTTTACAGATTATAGATAAACGTGGAAATCTGAAAGATAGATATTGTATGGACAAAAATAATATTCTAGTTAATGTTTACTTACTTTTTTTCGCATTTTAGTATATCTGATTTAGTTAATGGAAGAAAAATACTTCCACAACCTATTTCGATTGCATCTTCAGTACGATACTTAATACCATTGACATGTACAAATGTTTTATTTCTTGGATTTTTTGTTGATGTTACCATTGTTAGAACAATTCCAAATGATGCATTTTCAGGCAATGATATTAATGATAAATCCGGCAACTATATAATGTAAATAATAAATTTAACGCATAAGATATTTATAGATAAATAATATTTCAGAAAACAAACTTCAATAGACATTGGATGTTTTTTTGAATCAGGCAAAAAACGTGGACCATCACTTTCATAACGAGCACGTTGATCAGGTTTTGGTTGTTCTTTGACAGTCATTACATCATCGATACAGGCAAATTGATTTGTATTTATCTCGAAACTCATTTTTTTCTGATTTTCGTTCACATTCTCTTGATTATTATCTTGTGATACAATCTTATATAAAACAAACAGAATTTATAAATAATCTTTTTTGTTTTATTTAGAAAATGAAATACAACATACTGTTTCCTCAGGTAAACTACCGACTAGAATTTGGTCAAATTCGTCTCCTGTAAATTCTTCATTCTTTAGGATAGCATCAATGTTCAATTGACTATCTATGGTAGAAATAAAAAAATTCTAAATAATCTTAAGAATACTGATCATGATTTACCTAGTAGAGGATCAACCAATTCTGTTGGAACAATGGAACCTGAAAATATTTCACAGATAAAAACGAAATACAATAAAATCATTGTAATAATCAAAACATGCTTTGAAGATCATCTAAGAAATCATCATCAATATTTGTGTTCGAGTAGTCATGGAACATTGGTGATAGATTCACACTATCGTTATTGAGCACATCTAATTCAAGATGTTGAATTGTTAGTTTGAAAGAATTTACTGAATGAATTTTACCATTGCCGAACTTGAAACCTGAAGTAACATTTAATGAATCTTTGCCATCGATTATGTCTTTTAAACATGAATCAATATCAGTGTCGTCCAACCAATTTACTGTAAGAGTTGTAAAAAATAAAGAATTCAAACTATTAATAAATAATTTTGAAAAACTATGTACATACATTCTTTTACTTGATTCGACATGAAATTGTTTTGTGTATAATACGATAGAAAAAGACCTTATACTTCTTACTTTCGAAATAAAAAAATAAATAATACGAGTGAGTTCCATCAGACGACAACATTTTTTTCCCACTCTGGCCAAGTAAAAATACGAGACGATACTCTTTTTTTTTCTTCGTCAATGAGTCAGAGTAACGAAAACTATTGGTAAATGAAGAAAGAAAAAAAAAGAACATTGCTTTAGACAGATGACGACAGAATACAAAATACAACAATTGTTTGAAGAAAGCAAAAAAAAACAGTTACATTTCAGTCAGTTTGACTTGAAGTTTGTTAGTAAAAAATTCATTCATAATCATTTCAATTCGTCTTTTGTTCCAATAAAGATATCAAAGGAATGAAACACAAAGAAATCTTATTATTAAAATAAATGAGCCTGGTCGGAAATTTTGTCGTATAAATTTTTTCCAACAATGAGCAGGGGATAAGGTACAAATGGACCTATATAAAATAGTAGTGAATACTTCAAAAGAATTTGAGAAATAACAAAAGAATTCTGAAGATCTTATTTATTTACATATAAATATAAAATGTAAGTAAAGCATTTCGCATAACTATCGACTTGAAGAATTTTATCATCGCAACTTTACCTAGCTAGTAAACAAAATGATGCAATGACATGAATGTATTATTGAGTAGCAAGATTTCATAATGCTTTAAATAAGTATATTTGTACTTTGTCAACAGAAATCTTTTTTGTTTTGTAATCTTCAAAAGACATATTATATTATTCAGAGACTATAATAAATTTATTTTTAGCTTGTTTATTTGCGGAAATACATAGATTACAATCAAAAGAAAAAAAAACATAAAAAATGATTATATTATCAACTTCTTGATTATAATATTAAAAAAAAATAGTTAACAGCGGATGAGGGCTTCAACAAGAATCGTTATATATTAACATATTCTTTGCTGATCCTTTCGATCGTAGCATCTTGTTTATTATTCAAAGTTATAAATAAAGTTCAAGCATCTGTAATCACATATGTTTCACAATGAATAGGCGTTCTGTACCATTGATCATTTTGTTTTATAATTAATTGACAAACAATTTGGTACTGGTTTGTATGATATGTTTGATCGAAACATTTTGCTTTTTGTACTTTTGTCATACGTTCTTCATTTGGCAATGTATCTAAATAAATATTTTTAGTTAAAATAAAACCATACAAAAAGCTAATGAACATACAAGCTTCGACATGATTATCTTCCATGAACGGATCGAATGGAATTAATTGAAATGTATAATTATTAAGTCGTGTTTTCATTATGGACAAATGTCGAAATCTAAAATCATCAAAATATATATAATAAGTTGAAGAAAACATGTGTTTGTCTCTTACATTTTTCTTCGTCGACGAATCTCTTCTTCTGTTAATAGAACACGGAATGATCCTAAGCCATTTTGTTCTACATTTTCTTCATTATTAATCATTTCATGTTGATGAAGAAATCTTTTATGTTGTGGATTTTGTTGTGTAGTAACTAATGTAAGTTCAAGCCAAAATGATTGTTCTACTTTTGTTAAACATCCATTTAATATAGGTAACTATAAAAGAAAAACAAATTTATAAAATGTTCCTAAGTACGACAAGGTACAACTTCAATAGACATTGGATTGCGACGAGATTGTTCTAAATAACGAATTCCATCCGTACGATAACGAATATGATGTCTTGCAACCGGCTGTGTATGCATTCGCATGATTGGATTATCATAGTAATATATCGCATTTACAATTGCTTGGACATCCATACTATCAGTTTCTTGATTGATTATTCCATTTTGTAACTGAAATAAAAATATGAAGTTATGGTTTTTTTAATTAAAAGAAAAAGAATTAGCTATTAATGAATGTCATTTACCATGACTTCTTCTGTCTCTCCTTCTTCCTCATGCACATCCATCGATTGATGTACATTATTTTTTATGCCATTATCGTTAATTTGAATATCTAAAAAAACAAGTTTTATTCTTTTGAATTAAAATACAAATAGTAAAATTGTAAAAAACCTAATAGCACACATTGAAATTCTTCGTTTATATTTTCACTTGGAACTGTTAGTTCTAAAATTTAACAAATAAAGTCACATAAAATAGTGTTCTACATTAAGCTTCTACTTTTCTAACAATAGAAAATTGAATTCAAAAGAAATTTTCCCAGAAGTTCGATCAACACAAAACTTTTGTTCTTATTTTTTGTATTTCCTACGGCATGGAGAACCTTAAACATTCTTTGAAAATATACCTTGATCAGTAGATATTGAAAGAAATTCTTGAAAAGCTGTAACAGGCATGTCTAAAAAAACAAAAATTATACCTAATTATATTCAATTTGCACACAAAATTCACTATTGTAGCTAGTTGAGTGCTGTTCTTGTATCCATTGGATCAATGAATTATTTATTTCAAGTGTAGGTGTATTTAATGTTCCAACACCTATAATAATATAACTTGCATCGTTGTCAATAGTATTCAGTAATGATATGTACCTTCACTGAGAATTAAACTTTCGTATGCATTATGGAAATCATTTGAAGGAAATAAAATTTGATCGAAATCGATTGAATCATTTGTTGTTTCATCTTCCAAAATTAAAATATAAAATAAATGAAGTTCTTTTAGAAGACTGATAGAATAGCTAAGCTTACAATTATGTGGCTTGAAAGCCATATTGATCGTTTCGCTATTCAACAATATGAATCTAAAATAGTTAATATGAAAAGTTTTCTGACGAGAATTCAGTAATATTTAATAAAAGAATCACTAAAAAATTTAATTATAAATGATGGACTGATTGCTATACCACTTTCACATAGGATACTAAAATTGTACTACCTTTTCTTTTCATAGTTCTCTTGCGTCAGGCGAGAGAGGAAGAAAAAAATATGAAGTAAAAACCTTTTTGTAATATTTTTTTTGTCATAGAGGATAGAAAATATAGATGTCTCATTTTGTTTTTTGAAATCTTAATTATTAATTATAGTTATTTAATTTCTCTCCGTCAACAATTCTAATCGTAAATAAATAATAATAATCAAACTTGCACTTTCATCAATGAATAAGAGTATTTGTATGACATGTTTTCTTGCTGGCATATTTTTTCGAATATTCATAAAAGCAACAAAACAAACTCATTGATTGTGCGAAGTCTCTTTTTCTAACCAAATTAATAAAAATTCAATTATATTCATTGAAATTATGATAACAATAAACTATTATTTTATTTCTTTAACAGAATCTTGACTGCATATTTTGATTAAGAAAATATATACAAACAAAAAAAAATATAACTTTAAAAAACGGCATAACAAACCAGAAAAAATAATTCAGAAATAATAACATCAAACAATAAAGTAAATGAGATAAAGCCAAAATAATGTTTTGCTGCAATGTAATTTTGTAGACATTGGTTTATGATTTTTTAACTCGTGTTACCTAAAAAACAAATAATCTAAAGACAATTAATTTTTTTATGAAAAATCAAAAATTAAATTTTGCCGGTAAACATTTCCTAAATCGTGGAGATCGTTTTTGTTTTTTTGACAAACTTCGACAATGAACTAAATAATCATCGTCTTCATCATTCTCATCATGATTTCTGATATTAGAAGATTTTGAACGCTTATTTAGTTTTTTCGGTTTTTTTACTAAAAAAAGACAATGAGAAACAATATTTATTTAAAAATTAGGCTTTCGTTTTTCGATCAATTACTTTCTTTCATAATATTTGTTTCACATATAATATCTGTTTTATGCCATGTCTCATTTTGTTTAACGAGTAATTGACATACAATACGACTTGATGTTAAATTGTATGCGTCACGAAAACGTTTAGCTTTTTTAATAAGTGCCTTTACATTTTTATTTTCATCTGTGACATTAAAAAAATATTTAATTACTATGAAAAAAAAATTAAGGACAACATTCGCATACATATTTCAATTGAATTATCTATTGATAACTGATCGAAGGGTGTTAATTTAAACGTGTATGAATCTAATTTTTCTTTGATGATTGATATACGTGCTAGTCTGAATTTCAAGATTAGATTTGTATAGTATAGAAAAAAAAGATTTTTTTTACTGTTTTATTCCTTTTTGAATATCTGCTGGAGTTAGTGGAATTCGTACAAATCCATGATCACATTCTGGTAAATCATTTGCATGATATTCTATTTTATCAATATGAATGAACACTTTTTTTGCAGGATTTTCTTGAGTAGTTATGAGTATTAACTCAATCCAAAATGATTGATTTGCATTTAATATACAATTTTTTAAATTTGGTAACTAAAAGCAAATTGTGAAATAAAATCGATTGCAAGAGAAAAAAAACATGTCGAACATACTTTGATTGTCATCGGCTTTGAGCGAGATTTTTCAATCTGACGTTTTCCATCACTTCGATATCGTCGACGAATGTTGGTTGGTGGCTGAGTTGCAACATTCATTTGTCGATCTTGAATTGATTTATCGATATTTTCTAACTCGATCTTATCTATTTCTTTTTGTAACCAACCATTTGTTTCATTGCACGGCTAAAATCAAAATTTCCCAGTGAGAATTTACTATTAATATACAGTCAAGTACTAACCAAGTCTAAGATATTAAACTCTGGATTTTTTATTAATTCTTCAATTTTGTATTCGATATCTGAAAACAATTTCATTCATGAATAGTATAACGAAATATGATTTAAAACAAACCGGATGCAGTCCAAAGACTTTTGTCAATGTCATTATAATCTACATTTAACAAAATTAGGTCATTTAAAGATACATATATATATATAATTGAAATACCTTCAATATTAGATGATAGACTATTATTTGATGAGGATGGTACTGTTGTCCCATTACTAACAATATCTGTTACTGAAGAAAAAAATACATTTTTAAAAAACTACATTTTATGCAAAAAGTAAATCTTTACTTAGACTAAAAGCAACTTTTATTCCGGGATTTTGAATAATATTTTCAAAATATTGAGAAGTCTCAATACTGGTATAATCGTATAAATTACGAAGATCTTCGCATTCTAAAATGGATGACAATGATAAAAATATATGACATTAAAGTATTATTTCAAATTACTCTCTTGTGGTTGAAGAGCCATGTTTCAATATTTCATATCTTTAATAAAGAGAAATAGGCAATGTTAAATGCATTTAATTATTAGCAAGAAATACGAGAATAACTTATGAAAGTAATGTGTACATTTTATTGACAATTGCAAGACTAGTTTTTTTTACGTAAGAATGCAAAGAGATGATTGGTAAGAAAAAAAATCTTATGGTATTTTGTTAAAGAACACAGTATAGGTGTCTCGCATACCGCACAAAAAACTGATAAACCAAATAATATTGTTTTTCATCGAGGTACATTTTAAAATATTGATTCTCAAACAAAAACAATTTTCTCCGGATAGTTGTTTTCGAGTAATTTTTTCTTCCAACGTTTGATACAGGTTGAAAAGAAAGTAATAACTAGGTATTTTCGATAAAAATTTCCAACCAGAACAAAGAACATGGGCACTGATTCACAATACTTACTCAATTACTTGTTGAAGATTGACATTAACCTACGACGTATCAGTATCCACACAAATGTTGATGTCTGCTATGTTCGAGTAGAAAATGCTAGACGTTTAACTTCTCATCCACTAATAGAGCAACATATATACTTTGAAATACATATTCGAAATAAAATTTACCAAGTAGTTTAAGACATCAAGTTTTAATATTTATAAAACTATTAAAAATGACTTTTTATGGTAGCAAAACAAGGAATTCTTTTATACTTTAATTGTGTGTTTGCTTTATTGTCTTCAAATGGGACATTCATTTCGATTAGCTATATAGGTATAATTAAAAAAACTTTAAGTCAAATGGATGCAATCCTTCCGAGTTATTAAAGTTTTAAACTACATCAAAGTTGATGACAAGTACTATGTTATACGCAGTTTTCGTTTTTTTTATCTATGTGCTCACTACAATGTATTGTAACATAGTTTCATACATATGTTGCGTACGGGTAAAAAGACTGCATAATAGTTTGGGAATCTTCAAAGTTTGTGTTCATACAAGTAGGAATGCATCAATTTCTAGAACACGGTTTTAACAATGACATTTTTTTCCTTATTAAGACTGTAGCTTCTATCTATTGCTTTTGTAAACCATGGTTAGTTTTATTTTGTTCTATCCAATACTGTAGTCAAGTTCTTGAAATACGAAACAAAGGTTCCAGAAGAGATCTGAGAATTGATTGAAAATTCGCATTTTTAGATTTCTTTTTCGATCAATGCCAACTGATTTTGAGACTAGTGTTTTGCATTAGAGAAAAACTAAGAATATCTTCGGAAAGAGTGCTCAAAACTGATAACGACGAGCATGAAGAATTGCTAGAAGCCTAGTCAATCTCAATACTTGGCATGCATTTTTGTAAGCACGTATGAATTAATGCCTTAAATTTCTAGTCGGAGTTTCGAATGTTGTCACTATTGAGAGTTATCACACTCCTAGTGATTCTTCTTACTAGTTGTGATCATTTTTGAATGTTCTTTCCGAAGCTGTTATAGATTTTGCCTAATGTAAAACACAAGTCTCAAAATCAGTCGGAATTGGTTTTAAAAAGAACCCAGAAAAAAAACGAATCTTAGACTGATTGCACAGCCTTTATTTCATATTTCATAGAGTTCGACGACAGCATTGGATAGAATAAAAACAAACTGTTCATGGCTGATAAAAACACTCTACAGGAACTACATTCTTGAGAAGGAAAAAATGTCATCTTGGAAATCATTGTTTGAAAATTAATGATTTTTACTTACAAGTGGTTGAAACTTTCATTGGAAACCATGGAATCAACTAGTTTTGCTTTTATTGTTGATTGCTGATTACTCTGAACATACAGAAAAATAGAAAATCGATTATCAGAAAATCGAGATTTTTTAGTCTCTATTTTTTGCAAATTTGAACTCACTATTTTCTTCTTTAGTTCATAGAATACAAGCTAAAGTAAAAAAAATGCGAAGATATTTATCTTGGTAAGAAGCCAGTTTTAGTCGTTTTAAAAACATTAAAATTTAATGTCTTGAACAATATCCAAGTTTTGATTTTGAATATGCATTTCAAAGTACATACTTTGCTCTATCTGTGAATGAAAAAGTTAGGCTTTCATCACCTTTCATTAAAACACAGCAATCTCTTAGAATTCTACGGATACTCATGCATTATAGGTTAGTTAAAATTTGAAATTGTTCAAAACATTATTTTATAAAAGAAATTTAAAAGCTTATATAATACATATAAGAGAACTCTTGTGTAGCTTTAATAAATGATTATTTTATATTGAATCCAATGATTGCTCATATAATATTTTAGTGTGTTGAAACATAACAATACGTGGATAAAACTCATTGGCGATAGTAAATGACTAACATAATTGAATGCTTCAATTGATCTTGATTAAAATATTTCTTGACTAATCATTTACTGATAGTGAAAAGTTTAAAATTATTGTTCATCAGCTAAAAGAATCAAGTAGAGAATATTATTATTCTGTATCCATATAGAGTCAAGATGATAAACATTTTCACCTTCATGCGCAAGTGTTGGAGTAGAATGAATCTCTTGTTCCAAACTATAGTGATCAGCATTAAGAATGTTTTCAGGTGCATAGGTCTTCATCTTTCGTTTCACACCGACTAAAACTGAATCGGCAGACACGATGATATCATTAAGATTGTCTACATGATAACGGATCACTAGATTCGTAATTTTTCTCGAACAAATACGATGACGACGTTTGAACATTCGTAGTTAATATTTGGATGCTTCAAAATTTAAGAACTGAATCTTTAGCAACTTTATGGAGTACTCATCGTTTCAAACCTTGTTCGTGAACAGAGAGAGAGCATTGTGTTGAATTTCATCAAAGTTCTCATGGGCAAAATCGTTGATAGTCTGTATCCTCTCTTGTTGTGTGCCATGTTATTCAATGTATTGACGCAATCAAGCAATATATTGTCGATGAGAAACGTATTTGAATTGATGCTGTGTAGACTTCTATGTTTGGATTTTTGTTCGGTTTGAGTCGCATGCAATTATAATACAATAACTTTTGTATGTAATCAAGACTAAAATTTGTTTTCAGCGAGACTTCTTACCTCCTATAGTCTCATCAAAACTGGAATCAACATTTTCATTTTTACGATCAGCAATTACATCTTTGAAATAACTGCGCTCTTTATCGTCATCGTGATTGTGAGTCATCATATTTGCTTGGATTGCATACCAGGTACGATAAAAAATATTATCGATTACTGCTATTAGGAACTGATGATTGCTTTCTGGTATGGATTTGTTCTTGATCACCACCAGTCGGTCTCTTCAATTTCAGTCCCTTGATAGACTAGCAATTTTGCAATTCTTGTAAGATTAATCCTGATTCTCGTTACATAATGAAGTAAAAAAAAATAAATACATGTCGGACTTCGTGCGACGAAGACTCGTGTGAATCGTAAGTGTGACAACATGTGTTTACGTATCACGGTAATCATAATACAGTCTGTGTCATAGGACATAATAGAGCATGATAAAATGTATACAATACGCATGCCTTTTTATTTCTCACATTCGCACAGATGTGTCAGTTAAATTGCTTTGATTGATAAAAAAACCATCATAGCATACGGAGATGAATTTAAACATCTGGAAACACATCAGAATAGTATACTGATAATCAGATGAATTTATCAGAAAACTTTTAGTTTGTAGTAAGTTTTCGTTTGTTGTATGACACAGTGATATAGGGTTAAAATCGCTGTTTTGTCTAAAAACTCGAAAATTCAATGTACTAGGACAGAATGGCCATGGACCCGAGTCCTTTTGGGTTTGTTCTAGTTTAAAGATCTTCTTTATAAACCCAAAGTATGAGCTCAACAGAAGTGAATCGCTTCAAGAGTTCTGTCGTGAGACAAATGCACCATTGCTTTATAAATACTGCTTGAATAACAAAAATCGTTTGGGGAAAAACATGGATGAACGTATTCGAAGAATAAGATCGCACACATTACTAGTGACTCCACTTAAGCCCTCAGCCATGTCGATATTATTGATAAATTTAAGTGAACTTTATTACAAATTTAATGTTAGAATTTCAAGCTTATTGAAGTTAGCATTCTAGATTATAGATTCCTTTAATTTATGGTCTTCTCTCTTCACTTGATGTGTTTTTGAAATAAAAATGAAGGTAGTCCAATCGATAAAAACTTCAAATATCAATCCAAGCTACCCTAAATCAAGTTTCATAAGATAGTAATCACATCACAAGATTTCTGTAACACTTGTTTTTCAAACTCATTTTAAATCGACATAAAATATATTCACATAACCGCATCTTTCGAATAAATTTTTCATGACTTATTGTGTTCAAGTTTAAAAGAACGCTTAAACATATTTGAAAATAGTTTTCTTATGTAAATGTAAATAGTTGTTGATTTAATTTTAAGATCTTTAGATTATCTATTATGAGATCGACATTTAAGTCATATATAGTTTTTTAACTAGTTTAGATTGCTTGTGACTAATATAAGTATCTATCTTATATTATATGCAATTGATTTCTTCACCAAGCCAATCATTCCTAATCTGTATATTGTTTCTTTGCCAATAAAAAGTTATTAGCTCTATTTTGTTTAATCAATCAATAAGAAAGTAGCTTAACAATTTTTAGAAAGCAGACTAACAAATAAACTTTTTAACTACTTCTTAAAACATAACCAAATTATTGTTAAAAATTTGTAGAAACAAATTTAAGATTTAAAAGCAAAACAATGGAAAAATTTTTTTGCGAATATCTCTAAACATAGTTATATTTGTTACTTGATATTATTGTTACGATTCGAAGCTTTCTTGGATCAAACAGAGAAAGTCATTGAAAATAGTTTATCTACGATTGTTGTACATAATCTTTATTTCTAATATAGATTTAACCATGCTTAATGGTGGTGTCAGAAATTTTCGTCAAGAATGTGTTAGCCCCTAAACTAGCAAAATTTTGCAAGACGTATTGGGAGTTTTTCAAATATTTTGATTCGTTAAGAGTGTGACAGTCAGAGCGAAATTTGTTACCAACATTTTAATGAGTTTATCCGATTTTTTTTATACGATGAATAGGTTTTTTTTGTTCCAAGTATATGTGATTGATATAATAGATCTTTTTCAAACCACTACTGTTGTCGAACGCTTTCTTTCAATTATTAAATCTTGAAGTAATAAAAACATCGCCGACGTTTTATTTATTAGAAGTTGATCATCAGGTAACGAAGAAAGAAAAGGAAGGTTTTGGAAGTTAGATGATGATATAGACGATGAAATAATAAAGTTCAATTCTATTTGCGGTTCCTCATTAATGGATTTCTTGTTAGAAGAAGAAACAGGTACTCTATATTCCTATGTTTGCCATGACATATTTCTCGAGATTGTGATTTCACCGCAAGAGAAGAGAGTGATTTTTGGCATGGTTGCAGCGGACAACCTACGAAGAACTGAATAAAAATATATGCAACTCATAAAGCAGTTTATTGCAATGTCACCATGAAAGATTATCGATTCTCAGTAAAACTTAAAAAATCCAGGGAGATGGCGCTGAGTCTCCTCCCTCTGGATGTTGTCATTAATTCTGATCCGCCTATCTCGGATCCATACGAAGCCCAAACAAAGGTAAGTACTTCAAAGATACGCATTTTTACTGTTCAATGTAGTCGAAATCGAAGGAGTAAAGTCCAACAGTTATATTCAAACAGTATTCAAGTGAGATTGATTGAATTAGAGCATTTTATAGGTAGGTGGGTCAGTGTTATACAATTTTGGAGTCAACTTCAGATTTATTTCACAGTATATGAGTATCGAACATTTACCAGGTAACGCACACATTGATAAAACTGACTAATAATTGCTTAAGTTTAACATTAAATATTAACTGAATAAATATCTAATTGCTACAATACATCTTTTTGCATGAGATTTATTTTCTAATAAAGTCTCTTCAATTAGTTAAAGCTAATTTTCAATATTTTAAAACAAAGTCATTACGAATAATTCAGAGATATGGAGCATCATTGAGTAATTCTGGTTTTGATAATCATATAGATCATTTCTAAAACATTCTGTGAAAACTTTTATTCAAAATTATACGTAAACATTGTGAAAAACATTCTTCGTTTATTATATCATACGGTTCGAGAGTTTAGCCATCTATTTCACTGGAAAGCTTCGAAAATTATTGAATCTCGAAAGCAGAATATTGGGTCTATCTCTGGTGGTCTGTTATAAATTGAGCCTAAAACGTCATAGACTAGACAAAACTACTCTTGACCGCTCATAAAGAGTGTAAACGAATGTATTAATCTTATTTTTCGTAGCATTCACTTGAATAATAGTCATTTCAAGCTGAAATTCGATCTTTTATTTATGTATAACAGACAAAATGACATATAAAAATCTGAAATCGATTTTCAAAATGCCTCAGAATTCTTAATCATAGCATGCTGAACAGTTTTATTGGTGAGAGTACCTCAAAATTCCTTATAAACCTGCTAAAATTTGAGTATTAGTATATTCAGCTAAATTAGCCGAGATTATACATTTATCCCACGAGCACAATGATGATTATACAATTATCCCGCATCGAATAAATAATGTGCGACATTATTTTAGAGGTCTACTTGCAAGCTTTTGAAAAAAGCTGTCAGTGCAATCCCTGCCAGACAAAAAGGTGAAACACGATCGATCTGTTTCGCTTCTTGAGGAGTTACCCACACATGTTGATCGTATCACCCTGGATAGTTACATACACTAAACTATCAAAATAGCTGTCAAGCTGTTCGATATTATACGAAGCTTCTTCGATTATTTCTGTCCGTCAAGGTCCGTGGAGCGACAGTGAGTGGTTCACTTCTCCGCTATACGCTTCAGCATACCTTTCATTAATTAATTATTATCGGGTCATTAATAATGTATTCATGAGATGTTAATGAATTATTAATTCTTTAATTATTGTTTATTAATTCTTCATTAATTAGTAAGTAATTATTTACTAATTAGAAATGGTTGTTCCGGTTTGTGAGTGGGCGTGTCCAAAATTCCACCCTATATACTTCAACATTTCTTTTCGATCGTATTGTACAAAATGGCTGAAATTAAACATGTATCACAATGATATCAGCACGACTATATATTAGACCAACTTGGGGTAAATATAAGCTCGAAAAGCAGTGCACAAAGAACACTTCATAGATAGAAATGCTCGAAAGATTTTTAAAAACAAATTTTTCATCAATCACTAGAATAAGGAACTAGGTAAGTATCTTGTGAAGAAAATTTTTTTTAAATGAAAAATAAAAAATCTTGAGTCATTTTACTGAAGTTTACTGGTTTTTACTATACACTCGTCATCAATTCCTCTATTTCTTTTTAAGTTCATTTTTATGCTGAACCCATAGTCTTAGAAAAATAAGATCAAAATATTGATTATTTGGTGAACAGTAATACATTTATGACTATAGGAAAATTTTGAAATCTTGTTAACAATCTGAAAAATACAAAAGAAATTATTTTAAAAACAAATTTATATAACTTACTGATACTTTAACAGTATCTTGTTCCGAATGAAGAAAAAAATTGCACAAACTCTGAATAAGTTCTTCTTCAGAAATATTACTGAATAACTCGTCAGTGTCTAATAAATATTACATTATACAAGCAAAGTTTATTTTCCTATGACAATCATTAGTTGATGAAAATTGTTCGATTATCCATAATCTGCACTCAAAAGTCCAAGAACCAATGACGGTTTATATTAATTCTTTCGTCAAAATGAATAATCACAAGTAGAAAAAAAACGGAATATAAGTCTGCTTGTTAATAATATATTTATTATTAAAAACAGAGCAAACACCAAAAAAATTGAAATTTCTCATTCTTTTGATTCCAGTCAGCACATGAAAATATTTCACTCACATCAGACTCTATTGTCATCAAAACCCCACATGGTAAAATAGTTATAAATGTGAAATAGTTAAAAAAAAGGGAAAACGAATTTAAATAAAATTTGATGTGTTTATGAATGCTAGACTCTTCGTCCTATTTCGTAAATGTATTAATCGTTTAGTTATCTTAACAATTGAATATCAATAGGCTATCAGCCATATTTTTCTAAAACTAAAATAGTACATTTTGTCTAGTTATAAACTAAAGTGGGTGATGTTTTGACGTTTTTTTTGATCATTTATTGTTTCAAGGCAATAATTTTTTGTAAGTACGTCATTTTATGCACTTTATCTCGTCTGATACTTCAGACACGTATTTATTAACATACCGATAAAGAAAAACGCAAAAGCAAAAGAAAACGTTCGCAGACGCAGTAAAATTCCAGGTAATTCATGTTTGCTAAACTATGACGCAAAATAAAATTTGTCGAGTTCGTCATATTGTTGCACAAGTGCTATGTTAAAGATGATATTTTTGAAAAAGGATTTTTAATAGTTACTTCAAAACAATTGACTTTATAATTAATCAATATAATTATAAACCTTCGTTACTTTCATCGTGTTTTTACTATTATAATTTAAATAGAATTGCATGCTTTTTTCGTCCTACATAATACATTATGATATTGTCCTTCCTTTGTGCTAATATTTGATATTGTCGATGGATGTCTTTTATAGTGTTGATATGATGCAATTTTTTCTTTTAGTTCATAATTTTCTGTAGCATCATCCAAGTTTTTTTTAAGAATCTTACTTTTTTTGAACTAATTCAACTTAAATAATGATTATGATATGTATGGAATACATAATGGAGGGTTCGTAAACCAAAGAAATCGACTGAAATTTGTCAATTTTTTATATCTAAAATATTTGTGAGCTTAAAAAATCTTCAGGTACACTAGGGTGAAATTTTGTTATCTTAAAGTTAGCCTTTGCATTCGAACTCAAGAAACCAACTCATTCGTTGTATTTGATAAGAAAAGTTTTTTATGACAGATAGACAGACAGATGCATAGTCATTATTTATCTTATCCGATTTGTTTTTATTTCATATAGTTGAAAACAGAAATACAATTTCAAAAGTAAAATATAAATTTAAAATATTCTTTTATACAAATTTTTATTCAAACACCTAGAATACATTCCAAAAGATGAATATATTGTGCATAACAATGCTTCTTTTTGTGTGACTTAGTTCAGTGTATGTTGATCTGGATTTAACATCGATAGAAAATACTGTTTTGTTTCATCATCTAATATAGATGCAATATTTTCAATTGTCTCTTTAGCATTGTCTTTGGATACATCGGTCAATACATGTAATAAATTATTTCCCTTATTACCAACTTGTTTAAGATGTCTAGGTTGTTTTTTAAAAATTGTTTTCACTGATCCGTTTTGATTTAATTCTGTTGTATTGAATAATAATAATATTTCATTTTGATTAGTTTTTTGTTCAACAAAATTACTTGTTTGTTTATTGCACAATAGAAATTGATTATCTAATTTGATAGGTGTCAATTTCTGTGTTGGGATAATTAAATTCTGTATATGAGAATGATCGAATTCTTTTTTTCTTGTTCGATCACGTGCTAGTTTACTAAATTTAATTGTATCGGCTTCATCAAATTCTGTAAATGATCTTTTCTTGTTATTTTGTGTATTAACATTTGTAAAAATTAAGTTTGAGCCACAAGCCAGACATTTATTTGCTAGAAAAGACAAAACCTTGAAAAAGATAAGACAAAAAAAAAAGATAAATTACTAACATGATTGATAAACAAAATCAACTCGTGCAATCTCCAGGTTGTTTTGAGTAACAACAATCGGAATTGAAATTGTCGGGTTATCTCTTGTTAATGGTACTGGACATGCTGGTGTATAAAATAGGATGGTTTTTGTATCAAGAAATTCAAGATTAGTACAAGATCTTGAATCTATTAGAGGATGTACAAAACGAACAGTAAATGCTAGAACAAAAAATAAAATAATTAATTAATATCATGTAATCATAATAAAAGATTTTCTCAAAAACCTTCTCTGATTATCCTTGTGCTAAGAATATTTGCCAACAAATAGAACTTGACATTTTATGTCTGATTCAAAATATTAGAAAATAGATCTTTGAAAAGATTAGATCAAATAAAGTTTCTGGTCAAATGTTTGATGACGCGCCATAACTGGTATAGGAAAAAAATAATCAAATTTTATTTGATTTCATTTTTGTAGAAACCTATTTTCTAATATCTTGGTGAAGGATGAATCAGAAGAAGGAGAGACTTCTTCTTTTGATTATAATTACCAGCCTAGGATATTGTCAAAAGTAGTTTTTGTAAGCCTAGCATTGCTCTACAGTTTTACAAGGTTCAAATATTATGGCACATCTTCTTGCGAGTCATGAAACTAGGCGCTAGAAAGAAGAGTAAACTGATGTTAAGCTCTGATCACACAGTTTATCGTTAGCACACATCGTACAAAGAGAAACTAAAACAACAGTGGAATGATACAACCTAGAGTATACTAGTGTATGAGAAACCCTAGGCAAGAATCACATACAGCTTGCTCAAAGTTAGTTTACAGCTAGGAACTGCTGATTTCAAAAATAGCATCTCTAATCTATATAGTGAGTGAACAACTTTACAAAAGACTCCACTATTTAATTTTCCTAGTATTTTTGTTGTAACGAAATCTAATAGATACAGACTTTCAAACTTTGGCAACTGGTTCATATTTCTAATTGAAGAACACTGTGATACAATCATAAACAAATAATAAAATTACATTTTCTTTTATCGATTTTTGGAACAACCATAATTATTTCTTCTCCACCTTGCGCATCGCCGCTTTGCGGTGAACATCGAAAACTACTATCGTCATCGTGTATGGTTGTTGTAATCGCAGTCATTCGATGTGAAAACACAGTGGAAATATCGTATATAACTGGTAATTGAGTATCATTTTGAAAAACAGCTATTGAAAAAACCAATTGTGAATGTCTTAATTCATAGGTTTCGATTAATTTTCTAGCATCGGTTTGGTCTTCAAGACGTTCTTCATCTTTGTCCTCTTTGAAATATTAGAATAAAACAAATTAAGAATTGCTTATCCTATTTAACTTCTTACCAGAATTGAAAATTCTTAATGGTGCATGACTATTTAATTGATATTTAGTAAGTTTTTTCTGAGTAAATTGAAAGCTAAAATAAAATAACCAAAAAAGAAACTTCTAATTTAAAAGAATCTATTTTAAATAAAACTTTACCTTTTTTGACCAGTTAGTAATTCATCATCTGATAGTGGAAAATAGAGAGAATTTGACGATGGATCTTTAATGACATTAACATCTTCTGTATCAATCGGATAAGGATGTACACATCTCACAGGTACACGTTCATTTGGAACAGTAACAAGAGTTAAACGAATATATAACGTTTGTTGACGTTTTATTATCCATTCATTTGGGATCTATTTAAAAAAACATTAATAAGAAGAAGAAAAAAGATATTTATCTTACTTCAATAGTTGGATAAACAAGTCGATTTGGATTATTGTCGGCACGAACAAAACGTTGAGCTCGATTGCGACGACGATCTGTTTCACATATATATCGTTCTCGATATGATGCTTTTGGTTGTGCAATAAGACGAAGTGGTGGCATTGCTTGAGTCATATTTTTAAATTATCTTTGAATCAAAATTATTATTAGTTTAATTGAGTAGACAAAAATAAAAACCGAAAATACGTATCTATGAAATAACGTATAGACGTAATTAGTCTTACACTGTCAAGGCGCAAGCAAAATTAGTGAGTGAAGAAAAACAACTTTTGTAGTTTTTATTTACCAGGTAGATGCGATAAAAAAAGCACGCGATTTTTTGTAAAAAACAAAAAAAAAATGTTTTTGTTTGAAGACGTACGAAATTAGTTTTTTTTTAACACGATATTTAAAATTTCTTCACAATACTATCAATAAGATTAGAATGATGTTTTTTTTAATTAAAGATGAGTATTCATTTATGTGTTGTGAAGATCAGAAAATGCTCATGGTTGACTGCACATTTCAAGATAGAGAAAAAAAATAATAGTTTTCGAACAGAGTTTATGCTTTCTTTTGATTATTTTTAAAAATCATATTGATTTGCGATATAATAAGTAATGAGACTTTACCTCCTTTTTTACTTAAGTAATTCACTATACATAATACACTCCATTGTAATATTTTTCTACTAGCTAATATAGATGAGATTTTTCATTAACGTCTGAGGTCATTTTGACAATTCATAAGCATTGCGCTTGCAATACTTTACGAACATGATTTTATCAAATATTTATTTTTATGGTAGCAGAATATTCATTTGCATATGCAATTTACTTCGGTGTTTCTCTTTTTCGAGTGAAAAAACTCTGCTCTCTTTCTTTCTTTCCGTCATTGATTTTTTCTTTGCTGTCATTTTTGAAGTTCTGATTACTTTTAACAAAAAAAAAACGAAATGAAAGAAAAATAACAAAGCCGATCACCTAAAGTTTACGTAGAGATTTTTTTTTGTAGAAAACTGGGTCCTATAAAAAATTAATATCTGATTCTAACATCACTTTTTTTGTTATATACATCCTTTTATGAGATATAAAAGTGACATATACACGATGATAAACGGTTATGTATGATAGACAATGAATTTGTTTTATAAAACTTGTAAAAAAATACTACACAAATGAGATACAATAAAGAAATTTTTTAGTTCGTATGAGAAAGCATCTCAATACTATATCAAAGATACCTATCAGAGTGCGAGAGACATTTTAATAATACTACTGTAGCAGCTTTTTCTGACGAGCATGATAGAACTCCATGAATTTGCACGCAATTCCAGTGTCTACAAATGTGACACCATGAAACTCGATGAATCTCATGGATTGATAACAACAGATTTAGCTTCGTTCAGTCACAGCGGTGAGATTCAAAACATATTTTTGATTGATATCATGGTACCGACGTAGTTAGGAGGAAGTGCAGATATCAACCATAAAGTTTTGCTGTATGAAACTTTTATTAAAGATAATTTGAAACTCGCTGCAGAGCTGAACATCAAACGAGACGCCGTTATTGACCTTTTCTATCACTCAACAAAACACAATGTGATAGAAGAATAAGAATAGTTTTCATGCACTCATGAAGGTTTTGCATCTTACCTTTTTCTACTTTATTTGTAATGGATGTACTATCAAAACAATTACCACGCATTGCTGTGTTTTTTTTTATCGGTTATTGAAAGATTTATGAAAATAAAAATATAATTGTTTCAAAATGAAACAAATTATCTGTGAGCTGATTTATCTCATACAATCAATTATATGATCATTAAAAGGATTTTTTTATTGATAATTATATCCATCAGAAATGCAACACAGAGTGTATCAAAAGTATCTTCCATACAATAATTTAATACGAACACAGTATTGATCATATTGTTTTAACTATTTTTTTCCAAATACTAGCCTTATGGATTTCTGATCTTTATTGTATTATTATTGAGTCAACCCGCTTTAAAAAAAGATGCACATCTTATATAATTAAAATAAACTACATAAAAAGACTGTAAAATACTTGATAATTTAGTATATGCTTTGCTTGCATGAAAATCGAAAAATATCTTATTTATCCTACGTACTACTCTGTCCTGCACATCAAAAGAGAACTAAAATGAGATTTTTCTCTTATTCTATGCTTATTTATCGAATAAACAGATTTTACTATTTTCTCAAGCTAATGCTAGTAAATGTTTGTTTTGGAGGTTTTTGCAAAATCAAAAGACGCGCTTGTACTTATAGCTGTAGTTGCTTGAGGTATATCAAGGGGTACTTCAACATGCCTAAAGGTATGTTGTGCAATCTCCTTGATAAAATTCTAGCTGTGCCTCTAGGAGTGCAAGAATTTTTCTGTTCTATTCTAGTAGCAATTTTTCAGCCATGATAGACATCTCTGTACGATAGATAATGATACATGATTGTGTGGAGTTGGATATGGCTTACAAAAGCTGTGTATATTGAGCTTGTGAAATTCAGAAAGAAAAAAAACTAGTATGAATATAGCAATACAAAATATAAATTAGTAATTGACGAATAACTAAATTTTGTTGGAATTACAAAAATGTTTGATATACTATGAGAATCTTGCTTGTATTCTCAAAACTTCACAATTGTCGAAATCTTCGTAGTGAAATTTGAGAGGTTCGTACAGAAAGAATACAATACTTTCATAGTATAAGAAAATGACTTTAGTGAATGTCCGAATTTTTTATAAAACTCTGTTAACAATTGATCTTTTTGTATAAATATTTTATATGATTCATTATCCAAATCGTTTTCACTGTTGAATATTCTTATATCTTGTTACAAAAAATGAATTATTAATGATGTCAAAACATCCGTTACTCATAATATAAAAAATTACTTCGAGTTCATTATCGATCAAATCTGTCAAACTTTTAGTTTATAATATGCTATTTACTACGTAAAGGAATCGTAGAATTTCAAAGCAATGAATATAATGAACTAAAAATAAGGGAGCAAAAGAGAAAATTCTGTAGTTCAGCGTACTTCAAGGGTGCATCAAAGCTATCCTTTAGAACTCCTATGTTGAGTCTAATATTAACATGTGCCGTGAGCATATTATTTTGAGTACATTTTGTATAAGTCTATGTGACAATAATCTTCAAACACTTCACTGTACTTCAATCCTAATCAAATATTAAAGTACAGCCAAGTATTTGCGCTTTTTTGTCACTCACGAGGGAACCGTTCTAACTGATAAATCGCTTTTTTAATGAAAGCTGGTGGGTTATAGGTTATCGACTATGCTGATTCGAATATGAGTATGAGGAGTGCCCTTAGGCCTTCATAGGGTGGGTTTCTGGAAAACCAGGTCTTCAGAAAACTAATTTAAATGAAATTTTTGTTTTTGATCTGCTCAGATTATAGAGCACATTGAGTTGCCTATAAATCAATAGTTTTTCCTGCTTTGCATGGATTGTCTTGAATAAACAACATTAAACTTTCCTATTTGTACAGTGAAATGCTAGTAATATGCATCTACTATGTGAATTCCATTGACTGTATGTCATCGTAAAATCTATTTGAAACAAAAGAAAATATGGATTAATAGACAACTTGATGTGCTTTATAACCTGAGCAGGTCAAAAACAAAAATTTAGTTTAAAGTTGGTTTTCTAGAGATCTGGTTTTCTAGAAAACCATCCTATAAAGGCCTAAGGGCACTCCTCATACTCATATTCGAAATCAGCATAGTCGATAACCTATAACCCACCAGCTTTCATTGAAAAAGCGATTTATCAGTTGGAACGGTTCCCTCGTCAGACTAATATACTCATGACACTTATTGACATTGGACTTGATCTAGTTAAAAGGTTTCACAGAATAACTTTGACATACCCTTAGAGTACGCTGAAATACAAAATTTTTGCTTTTTTTCTCCTTGATCAAACATCACATAAAAAAAAATTGTGTTTCTGCTCTTCTACGTGATTGATAGTAAATATTCCTCTATCATAAATGCACATAAATATATTTATAATTGACTTGACATATAACAATCTAAGAAGCGATGATTAAAAACTAAATTTCTCATTATTCAAATTCATTTAGATCTTTTTATATTTGTTTTATTTGTTTTTTTAGAAAACGAACAATGAATAAAAATAAATGTGATCGAGATTATGCTTAAATAATAAATTAATCATTTATTGGTAAGCATATTGTTAGTTTTCAACCAAAGTTAATGTACTGAAACCAGTGGATAAGGTTTATCAATCATAATTATGTTCTTATTATTTTAGTCTTTTTTTTCTAATCTGTCTTAAGTAAAAAAAAAAAACTAATCACTAACAAGTTTATATCATCCATTCTATTTGGAAACGAAAACTTACCACTTTAATTTTCTTTCATTATTCAATTTGTTTACGTTCAACTGGAATGTTTATGAATATTGTCAATAATTCGTAATAAACTTATCAATTGATTAGCTAAAAATGAAGAAGACAAAACAAGTTTATATTCGAACTATTGATTAAAAAATTTACATTTATATCTATAGATTGGTTTAATTTGACATTCTAAATCTCTAGTATATACTTTATTATTTTGATCAACTAGAGTAATTTGAAAACGCAAAATTGAATATCAAAGCTCATATTGATTTCTTAAATTCTTAACTGTATTCATATTGATCGAATAAAATTCTCAAACTCTATAAAAAAAAAAACAGTAACTCAAAAAAATTTTGTTTTATTTTTACATACGATTAAAATTAAGTTCTGTTGATGGTTTACATCGTAAGTTGTTGTATTTTCTTAATATATCATATTTTAATCGTTGCATATTTAATTTTTCGACTCAAAAAAATGAATTTCTAAATTTTCGATTGTCTTTTTTCTAGAAGTATTTACTTAATAATTTTGTTCAGTTATTAAAATAAATAATGAACCATTATGGATTATAGCATGTTTATCATTATGTCATGTTAAATATGGATGACAAAATATTAATTTATTTATACCATTTGATTTAGTTGTACATGGCATACGCATTCAGTACTGATATATTAGATTCAAATATATGCCAAAGATTAGATATCTATTCGAGAACATGTTAGTG